AATTTGAACTGTTCGGGGTATTTTATACTTTCGGTATAATTAGCTTTATTTTCCAAATTAGAACAAAGTTTGTGTTTTGATATGATTTGATGAGAGTCAATCCAAAATTATTCGTACACTCCACAGAATAACTAGGTTTGATCCGACTAAATAAACTTTGCTTCGTTAGCTCTGAGTATAGACTAAATACTGGAATTGTGGTCGTTATAAACCCTTTCAATAAGCCATCCACTGTATGTTAACAGTGTGTAGCTTGTGCTTGTGCTAGACATGCAAACCTTGACGGAGGTTGAAATCATAGCATTCCTTGGTCATTAAGTTGCACCAAACGATACTACCACCACCTTTTTTGAGATTTGATAAGCAATAACTACTTACTGTTGAGACGGCTTTGAAAAGCACGTTGAAGGTTCCAGAGAATCTAGAGGAGTCGAAGAGATTCCATCCATTCAGAACCTGATAAAGCATTCTAGGATATCAACATTGTATGCTACAATTGGACAATAGCATAACTTGCCTCCTTGCGGATTGGCTGAATTGTAATGATGTTATAGACAACAGTAATAACTACAAACACATGTTTTTCTGTACATTTTTGATTCCTACTCAATTATCACCTCCCATGCTCCTTCCATTTTCTGATTTGCAGTTTTGGGTTTTTACACTGTTGAGTGCCTTTAGTCTTGTATAGTATTCGGCCGTCATTGAGTGGAGAACGTAACACCAACTGTGATCAGCTAGCTCATTATGATATTCTGGCACTCAAATAATTAGAGAAAGCAAGGGTTTTCCTGGTAAACCATTAATAGTAGCGAAACTAACTCGATCAACAAAATACATAAGTGCCTATTGACTCCTTATATGTGCTTCGACTTTTACCGTCGGTTGTTGACCACAGTATGATTAAATGGTGATGATGCTGGCAAAATGGACTTGATAGAAAAGAAGATCCGTGGACATGGACACTACGGAATGAAAGATACTGTCATGAATGTGGGTCAGGGGACTATAAATGTTAACATTAGAAAAGCAAACCTGGATTTGTTTGGAAAGACAAAACAGCAAAGGCGAAGAGTTTGTAGTGGCATTGGACAATAACCACACAATCTTCAAAGCTGAATAGATGATTGCTCGGAAAATAGATATTCAATATTTAACGCGGAGAAATACCTAACGATGGAGAAGGTGCAACAATGAATTGAATGGACTGGAGTTGATCAGATGGCATGGCTCGGCCATGCAGGCGTGGTCCATCTGAATGTTACCCTATATCTTCTATTCATATTCAATATATTGTTCCTTCTCTAGCCTAACCTTGTTCTACATCATGTATTGGTAATTGATACGATACAGTGAGTTGGTGTAGTCGATGGTGTTGCTTCCACGTAAGATCTTATAGATTAGGCAGTTATATCATGCCAAATCTACAATTTTAGGATTAGGTCTATTATTAGAGCAGTACTAATATCATAGTAGACCATAATCCTACAAGTTTGTGATATATATCTGTATGTCATTCAAGGCGAACATACCAACAATGTCATTTTGATACTCATATGCTTAGAATACTGCCGAGATGACAGAATCATACTGACGTTGTTTTAGTAATAACAGCACCGAGTATTTGGTTGAAGAAATATACTGACCCCCACCAAGTAACAACAAATGGAAAGGTAAGATAATCGGAGTACTATCAAAATGACCACACACGGGGTTAGATCAGATACCCCACCTCTGAGACTTTGACATCCCATCCATCAATCTCAACAAGTAAAGTACGACCTCTACGTATTGGCCTCATGGGACAGTTGCTGCATTTATTAAAAGTTCGGGACTGACTGAACACTTGGGCAATAGTATGAGGTATGAAAATGACAGAAACCCCTCGAAATTAGACTATTTACTATGGAATGATCAGTTTCTAGTCGAGGATGTCCATGTCCAAGCACGAATAGGGGGTGGTAATCGCGAAGCAGCTATATACGATGTGGTTATATACGAGATGTCCTTGTAACAGCTTAGGTTGGTTGGTTAAGAGTTCACCTCAAACAACCAAGCATATGCCAAAACAATATAGCTCAAATATTTATTCACTTTCTTATTTTGTATAAGCGTTATATTTCCTATTATCTTATACTGAATGTTGAGAGGCTTTGTTTGTCTAAGTAAATAACCCCACGCTCCACTGTGACTGCGCGAAGATCGAAATAAAGACCTATTCACTACTTGTCTGGGTTCTTCTATCAATAGCAGGAGGGTTACCTTAAGGCACGAAACCCTAAATTAGTGAGAGTGATCCCCATTTTTGCAACAAAAGGGCGGACTACATGGTCATAAGAGAGCATTTTCGAAAACCCCATGACCGTTCTTTGGAAGGCAGAGAGTGATATCATTCGGGGAGCTGTCTCGTAAAACGAGTCCTAAGCAGAAAGATACATAGAGAGGGAGAGTTCAGGCTTAACTGATACACAGAACCTTTGCTACTGACAAAATGGAGAGTCAAGTACAATCGGAAAGTTTCTTCAAAGGAATTTGACCGTTACTCACAATTGGTCTTGAGAAATAGACGCACTGAAAGGATTCAAAACGACAGAGAGTGCTTTCTAAGATGAGAAATAATCCGAAATATCTATGATTAATAACCAGACGGAGCTTCTGTCCTCTCAAATCTCCTAATGGCGAAGATCTTACCAACCAAGAGATGGCATAAATCTTCGCCGACCAATGGAATCTAGGATCAACAAGTGTGAAACAGTCTTCGGCTCCAGTGTCGGATGATGGCCTGTGAAATATTCATGTAACTCCAGGATTAGTACAAAGAGAACTAAAATCCCTGTGCTCAGGTTAGTCCCTTTGAAGTGGCAACACCAAAACTATAATCCTGAAATAGTTCACGCAATCCAGTACATAGCTATATGACCTGTTCAAGTTTTCGCTAGAGTTACAGCAACTTCCAAAAGAATGGGAACTGACTACTATCGCTGATCCTCATAATGGGAGATAAGAAAGACCTAGCCTGCTACAGATCCAAAGGATTGCTTTCAGTACTATCAAAGTGATGGAAGGACTAGTGAATGACCGAATGAAGGGATAAATTGAAAAAAACCAGCGTCATCCATGAAGCTGAGTAGCAGTTTAGAAGGAACAGATCCCGTACATTCAACCTCCTTACAGCATGGAACAGCTGGACGAATTGCTGAGACAAAAAGTCATCGGTTCATAGGACATTTATTGATTCCTCAGAAGCATTTGGCACAGTAACGCGCTTAGTCTCCATTGTCCTGCTCTATGCTGGCTCTGAAGTTATCTGAAGCACTGACTACTTCACACCAATGAATACAGGTTGATCTAGAGCTAGAAAGTTTCGACGTAGGGAATCTCACAAAGGACATTTTAGGTCCACCTCTTTTTATTTTGATCAATAATCTCCTAGACAAGGCCAACTCACCGACTGCCACATACGTTGGTGATGTCAAGATGTGGAGATCTACAAGAAATGAAAAAGATCCATTTGAGTTCCAGAAAGATCTCTCAACAATGAGTAAGTGGACAGTGGGAACCTGTTTAAATTTAGTCTGTCAAAATATCATGCTATAAAGTGTCAGCCCGATGGGACACAAACAACCTACATTGTCAATGAAAATCCGCTCCCAACTGTGCCCTCAAAGAGTGATCTATGGCAGTTAACTACAGGGACGTTGGACACTAGCTCAAATTGCATTGTAGGTGCGGCCAAAGGAAATGCAGCCCTTCACTCTAAGAAAAGATTATTTGACGCAATCAGCCCAAAATTGGTTTTGGCCCTTTTTAAAGCATATTCAAGTACCAACTTTAAAATTCACAAAGTTATTGGACCTCACCTCTAAAAAAAGACACAAATCTCTTGAACAAAGTATAGAGACAGGAAACTAAGTGGGTGATAGAGCTGAGGAACAAATCTTACAAAGGTAGACGCCTAAACTTCAGGTTGCGTTCACTGAGCTAAAGAGGAATAAGAGGTGATCTGGTGGTGGTACGCATAACACTTAGTATGACAAGTCACCTCAACACAGATATCCTATCAGAACACCATTATCACACTCTACGAGATGATCTCCAGAAAATTGCACGTCAAAAAGAAAAGAATCGGGTACTATTCGATTTTCTTCATTAAGAGTTGCTTCTGTTTGGAAGGTTCTTCCAGGTGAAGTAACCATAGCCTATTCAGTGGACGGCTTCAAGAGGAGATATGACAAACACGTACTCACGTCTGGACCAACTGTACCTGAATCATGCCTAGCAACCTAACTTCCGCTAACATCTTCATATATGACTAACTTATTCCTGTCCTCTTATTATGATATTCGTTTACCTTTTATTCTTATCTATCGATCTACTCATACTATCTACATCACTAATTATTTGGCTTATTTACTTCTTGAAGCAATCGTCTATATTAGCATTCAACTTTTCCTTCCATTATTTTCCACATTACAATCAACCGACCAGAGTCCGATGATCTGATATTTGTGAGTTCCGGAAACCCTAATGTCCTAAGACAAACTCTCTCAAATTATGAGATAAACAAACCAACAAATAGTTAACAAACTGGCTCGAACGAGTGTGGTCGTGCAACTAGACTACCTCTCACTGGAGATTAACAAGAAAATGAAACCGTAACAAAAAGGAGAAGTGAGAGCAAAGAAGTTATTTGATTTAATTAAGCTCATCGTAGAGATACTAGATATTGAGATCAGTCGACTTTCCTAGAGATTACGCTGACAGCGTAAAATACTGAAAAGTAAACCGTCCTAATACTTCGTCCGTTATCTTACTGCAGGTTAGGGGTGATCTAATATTGGTTTATCGTATACTAAACGACGACCTTGGTATTAATATGTCCTATCTTTTCCTTCCCTCTAGAACTGATCATTTGAGAGGACACTCTAGGAAAGTTCAAAAACCGAGTTCAAATCGTCTACGTCTGGCGTTTCGTTTCTCGTACCGAGTAGTGAACTACTGGAATTCTCTACCGGAACACGTAGTATTATCACCTTCTGTTGATATATTATAAATGAGACTGGACCTCCACAGTGTTACAAAATGCAAGGATTAATATAGGTTGATAGACCTCCTATCCTTAATACTGAGGACTGAAAGTTGCGGCTATTGTAAAATGAAGGTCAAATTGAAAAAGAAAAGTGCGAAAAATGAGGTTGTTCAGTCTTGCGATTAATACTTATTGCCAATTTAGGAAGAAAACGAGGAAATGTATGTCAGATTAGGAGATGTACCTCTGGACATATTACGGTATAATATATCGATGCAATCAGGAGTGGAACGAAAGGAAACTCGCAAATCCCTACTTCTCAAAATGGGCGCTAAGAAACCGAAAAACCCATACATTAATTACAAAGAGCTCATGCAGAATAAGGCAAAGGCTAAGGCCGAGGCTGAAGCGTTTGCTTTCGATGTAAGTCTTACTAATTCGGTACTGAGTATGCGGTAATTGTAATAGCGCAGTGCTAGTTTCGTCAACAAAAAGCTCCCTTTAAAGCAGGCAAAAAGAAACGGAAAAACCAACAGAAAGACAGACCAAGAAAAAAGTTAGTTTGCGATGTATTATATGTTTATAATTTAGAGTATCCAAGCCACGGAAGCATCGCTAACACCTGGTATTATGTAAACGTATTTCAATCATCAGATTTGTATATAGTCTTATCGAAAATTCTCTCTTTGGAAGGCCTAAATAAACGCTTCTCGGTAGTGTTCAGAGTTTTTGAGCCATTCAGTTCGGGGTCCCAAGTTTCATAATAAACCTTTCTGCGCCCTCTTGACATGACTGTTTCTAATGTTAGGTTTCATTTGGATTTTTAGCTGGCTAAAACCTACTATAGACTTCCTGTGGTCACATGGTATTAGCTTACTTTTGCCAAGTTTTATCCTCATAGTTACATCGCATTGTGTCTGGAAGCTGCTATTGCTTGAACCGTTTTTTAAAAAAACGAAGCATTACAGTTGCTCTTAATAGTTTTGTCAAGCGTTTTTGCGTTCGGGTGTATATCATATAAATAACCTATTTGTCCTACTTTGAATCGCTAGTATTCCTGAAATTTTTTAGTGTTCATGGGGCCACGACGGTAAAACTGGTCAGTTTTTAGAAAATCTAATCTGTACCTGTGTGAGGTGGTTAATTAGATTTAATGTACTGATATCACACGCTTAAAGGGCGTACTATGTCATCTGTCGTTTTTTTTTTTACCGTAAAGCCTACTGACGTAATAAACCAAGTTAATGCAGTATAGATTTATGGGTTGAGTACAGATCATAAGAAACAAGCTGGTATGTATTTCCCATAAATGATGGTTAACTTGCTATTGTGCCTACAAAAAAGTCTTAGTGACTTTCGCGAGATACTTTGTCTGTTGAGACATCCCAGTATCTGTATTGTAGTTTACACCTAAATGTTTTTTTCTTCAGTCTAGTATCGTAAAAGCGGTTCTATTCATTTTTATAAAATCCGTGGCTTAAATTTATGTTGTAACTGTCAGGATTCACTTGTCTTGCATTAATTAGGACGTATATTTTTTAATTTGTGTGCTTTGTTGCCGAAATTCTGCATCAATTTTCTTGTATATTACATTTTCGCCATTTGGGTGAGAACGAAACCACATGGAAGTTCTAAGGTGGTAAATAAATAAATATAACACATGGGCTGGATTCTTCAAATCCTTTTTACTTTCCAGAACTGGTGATTATGATTTCCTATGGCAAATGCTTTGGACCACCGTCCGTTAAGTTTGACTACGTACTTATAATTTTCAACTAATAAACTCGAAGCTTCTTACAACACGAATAAGATCGGAAAATCGGAGGATTTGCATGTAGACAGTAAAAAAGTTAGTCAGTATGGTAATTTCCCTTAAGTTACTAGTCGTGAGACGAGATTCCATCTCCCACTGACTGGCTACTAGGTTTTTTAATGCAAAGGTAATTGTTGACGGTATTAATAGTTCTCAAAAGAGTTAGGCCATAACTAGGACTTTTGAAATCTTGTTTGCCAGTTCCAGAAAATCAGTCTTATTTGTTGTGTTATATCTCTTTCTTACGGTTATGACCCAGCTATTCCTATTGCTTAGTATTCTCGGATACTGATTCACTCGACAAGTCCCCAAATCAGAACATGGTTGAACAGGGAGGAGATTATATCCCAAATAACAAGGTTAGATGGAAGTAAGAAGCAAGTCAGAAGCACAATAGGGAAAACGTCAGTATATTTATAGTTTTTTACATGAGAAGATTCTAGAATATTCTCCAACTATCGACTAGTGCTGATTGGATGAGAATTAGCCAATCAGCGTGCACCAAAGCAATCGTGAATTGAGCATGCTTTAATCCGGTCTATGTCCCGCTAACATGTTGAGATCTTATTATCTGTTGCCCTGATGCTAATTCTAAGCACCACTTAAAAATTTATATTCTCACACGCTTAATAGATTTACCCCATCTATTTATTAAAATTAGCATTAGGGGATTTAATTTTATTTCTAACTAGCCCATCAACAAACAAACAAACTCGGCTTGTAGTAAAAAAGTTATTATTTTTTCCATAAGCTTTTTATCTTCCTGTCGATGTGTATTTTGTGATATCATGGGTAATAATGAAACTACCGGGTTCTGAGTCTGATAATTGATGCCTTTCAGCTCGTGTATTGGCAGTTGAGGCGAGTGACCATATCACTATTCCATAGCTAATAATGAATTCACTAAAAAAAACTCAATCGAGTTGTGTGAAGAGTGTGTAATCTGGCTAAATGAGGTTTTCAGGAACCTAGTAATTTTAATGATGAGGCGTTAAATAGTCTTTAAGTAAGCGAACATTTTACATTGATATGGTAATACTACTGCAATCTAAGCAAACTCATCATCTTTGTATAACCAGAATGTATTCGGATGCTCGACGTTTTACATGAAGTTATTTGCGACAGATCTAAATCCTAGTTCGTTACAAGGATGGTTTGTAATTAAATGTGAATGAGAATGTCTTGAAGTGTAGTGACTCGTGTTTGGTAATCGAATATTAAAAAACAAGATTTGATCAAACGATTTTGTGTTTTAATGAATTTTCAAAACAAATTCCAAATAATGACTAGGCAAATATTAGAAAAAGCTCTGAACAAATAGGTATCGTACAACGATTTTTCAGTAATCGTAATTTCACATTTGTACACGTTCGTGTAGCGAATATGAGCTGAACTCAGTTCATGTTCCACGAGAAGAAGAATTGGAGAATTAAGGGCGAAAACACAGGACATAGGAGGGGGGCCAACTGGATATTGTGTAGTTATTCTTCCCGTATTGGGGTAACATTTTTTACTTGCATATTGATAATCAGACTAGAATAATTTATGATTTACTAGAAGTGAAAGTATGAATATAAGAGAATTTATTAAGACAGGATTGGATCAGCTGATTAAGGTATATTACAAAGTGATGTGATTTAATATGGTTTACAATTTACTAAATTTATTCACACTGATGTAAGCAATATGTGCATAAACGTGTGTCGTAATAGTGAAATATACTTTTCGTAGATTAACAGTAACAACAGCAGTAATAATTATTATATTTGCACTATTACTTCCTCTTTGAGTTTATATTTGTCAAAAACGATATCAATTTAGCTTTAAAAGGTGAAAAGATGTTAGTAAAATTAATGGTAATAGTACTGATGGGATAAAAAAAGGGTTTTAGTGCACATTATAGTGATTGTTTCATAATGATTAAATTAGTTAAAAGACATAGTGGGGATACTTAACAATTAATTTCACATATCGTATTCGGGCCAATTTAATATAGGAAATTGATTTGTTTTTTTCTTCAAATAATGATAATGTATAGGCTCAAAATATTACAGATACTACTACTCTTAGTTGTCACCTTTTGATTTATCTTCTCTTGGACGTATTGTAGAATCACTTGTACTCCGGTTTATTGTAGCTGTACTATCTCTTGACTCATGCCATGTAGAACGACTAGCAGCAATCGGTGTTCTAGGTAGGGAAGATTGCTCCAACGGACTAATATCTGTATTTGTTGTGATATTTTCTTCAGGACGTCTATTTCTTTCATCACTATGATATTGGGTCGAGGGGTTTGTTTTATCTATTTTTGTCGTTGATTGATATGGTCTTGATTCAATAAATGATCTTCTTGGTTTTATTAATAAATTTGATCCCGTTGATCGGTTCAGTCTAGCAGGTATTGAGCCTGTTAGTTGGTAGTAGTATGGGTCATATCTAGATGGTGCAGTAGTTGGCTTGTACAATCCCACCAAGAATGAATCCTATGAATTATAAAAGTATAATTTAGTATTGAATGTGATCACGTGTGAAATGAATTTATACTTTACAGTTTCATTTTCGCCTCAGTTTCATTATTTAATTTAAAAATGTAATTATCGAAATCTTAGTTTTGGTAGAGTTCTTGTACGTGAATTTGAACTTGAGGCTTTTTAACAATGCTTATCTCTGGTGATTGTACATCTACATTAGTCTTAGTTTCGTCCAGGATGAGACGGATAAGTTCTTGCCCTCGGATTCCCTTTATGTGTCTACGCTAATTTAATATTTATGTCCGCTTCTTTAAACTGGAACGTCTTTTTTATTATTCATTTAACTAAATGTTATTCTCCACAAGTTTGTGGAACTTAAAATTTTGAATGATATCGACTATACAGTAGCCTGGGAATTATGTTTTTCTGAGTGATATTATTTGTTAGAATGATTGTTTAACAACAGTTACATTCCTTTTTATTTAATTACGTTAACTTGGAAGTTGTAAGCTATTTACAGCTGACTGAAATCCTTAACTGTATGAATGACCTTATCAATTTAAAAACGTCTTAAAGTATATCTAGATCATTTTAATTGATTCCTAGTCTCATTAATTGTTCATTCATATGCATGATTAATATAATATAGATTTTCTGTTTTCCTCTTACCTGTTGACGATTATTATCTATTGAAGATTTCATTTCAGTATAATCATATCCTGTTGTAGTTACTGAACTTCCATAACTTGTTAAACTTGGCTGACTTTGGTTAACAGAAGATGGATTCTTTAAGTAAAGTAATTGACGTTTATTTGTTTCATGAGTTAGTTGATCTTTGAGTTGTTGAATCTGTTATGAACACAAAGAAAGATGGGTAGAAAGTGAATTTAATAATCTATTCCTCTATAACACTTAGTAATATGAAGTTTTAATGATAAAACAAATGTATCAAGGGGTCGGCTAGGGTAATACTACCATTGTATCTTGAATTTTCGTTGTAACGGTTTTTAGTTTATATATATATATATATATATATATATATATATATATATATATATATATATACGCCCACACTACATTACCATATTTTCTCATATAATGTATTTCAGTAAAACAATCAACGATATCTTGAGTTGAAATTATTTAAAATACATAGTGAAGCTGGTTGTAAGCCAATAACGTTTCAGTTTGTATATTCAATATTGGGTTAGCACATTTACAGTGTAATACTGGGAAAGTTATTATTACCTTAAAATATTTTAGTAATCACCATAAATTAATAGTTTTACGATCTTAAAAGATTAGATATTTATTTCTTAATTTTGTTGATTATCTAAACGGATTTGAATTTTTGAAGGGTTCTTGCGTAGTATGTCTGTTACAGTGATAAAAATCAAGGTCAATCCCTTATGGCTTGTGTACCTGATAAAAAAGTACTAATCTTCCTACGAGTATACATACAAATATCAATTAAGTTGTAACAAGCAAAACAGCACATCGAATAAGCAACTGAATTAATGTGAAATATGATAACTCAACGTTGCTCACGAATTAAATCGGATGGTTAGTAAAATTAAACTTTTATAATTAACAGAATTGTAATCAAGGTATTAGACATGTTGTAAAGTTGTTTTTTGTAGGAACAATTGAAGTATAAGAGTGTTTATAGGTTGTTAACATAATAATGTGGTCCAATATCTACTGTCAGGCTTAATTATGTTTTTGTTGTTGTATCATAAAGTGATCTACTCATATTCAGTTGATTTATAAGAAGCTCTTAGGATCTTAGTCGTTATAGTCATTCGTATAGTTATACAAGTATTTTGTTAAACTGTTAATTTTGATTAGCTATTTTTCATTATTGATTATTGCTATGATGTGTAGTCTAATTTTAATTGAGGTTATCACACTGAATAGGTTTATTAACTACTTGTATGGCATTCCTATGTCTCTACGATAGAGAAGTTTCTCAAAACGTCTGCAATTATTGTACGTAAAAAATGAATTACAGATTTACAAAACCCCTAAGTTCTTAAGTAGTTTCTGACAATACATAAAAACATAGTGCGACGCGGGTTCAACTCCTATAGAGAGCATCAGGCCCTCACAATTCTAGGTATGCCTTGCTGATGAGTTTCAACTAGCATGAAACCCAGGTTCAGTGTTATCTGCCGACTACTTTCGATCACCTAACATAAGTGAAGTCTAGCAAAACAGAAGAATACGAGGTTTCAAGCTGGCAGAAATTAGCTTTTCAATTTTTCTTGAAAAACAAGGTCTAATGAGTTGATGCATGTGAAACATGATTGATTTAAAAATCCATCTGGTTCATTTGTCATGCTCAATAAATTGTTAGAAATAAAAAGCAAAATTGATTGATGCTACTATTAAGCTGAATTTCACATGATATATCGTAATAGGTTATACATGATAGGTAGTTTTCGAAACGTTAAAAATATTTTTCGAAAGATCACTTTAAGCTAAATGCCTATTTTCAGCAATTATCTCATTAAACTTTTTTTTTAGTTTGGGTAATCAGTTTCGTACTTTTAGTTTATGAAGCTGCAATTCTGTCCCTAGAAGCTGAGGACCCTAATGGGGTCGATCACCCTATTTGTGGTTCTTAAATACCATAACGTCACACTGATCTTAGCAAACCTACATACACTTCTCTCATTTGCTCAAAATATTAATTAGTTTCATGTATTAGGAACTTGAGTTTGTTAATATTTAAAATTATGACTTTATATGGAAACGTAAATTCTACAGTTAAGATCTATTTATCACAATACGGGCACACCCAAGGAGTTTGCGGTTTGCCATTTATGTAACACGATGTTTGGATAGCTAATAATAACCTAGCGACCAGATCTTTGTAATGAAAGCCATTTAACCGTAAATAGTTAGGTATTTAAGGCCAACTAACATTTGTCTGTAGGCTATCCATACATGGATAAATGTCAACAGCTCTATCATTAATTTTGTTTGTTCATCTTTAACCCTATTTTACGCTTGGAATAGTTTTATTGTCAAAATAAAACGGTGAAAATGCTTATGAGAGTGGAGTTATATTTGCTATAAATTTATTCTATTGAAAGAGCGGTAGGGAGGATGTGAATGTCATCATTTATTCGTCATACTTTTTTGTAGTAAAATTTACAAATTAGAAAGTATATCATTTAGTGGTGATTAACACCTATATCTTACTACCGTCTACATCTTTTTTCTCATGTACAACTCGTGCTTTCATGTTTATATGTAGCTGAATAATAAAGACATAGTTACAACGAACAGATAGTGCTCATGTGATCGTCTAGGTGGAATGGAGTTCAAAGTTATAATCCTTTTAATTTATCTGCTAGACATGCTAAAATTCATCTGTTACTTGAGTAGTGTATTATGCAAGTGATGGCAGTACGAGAGTTGATTACACTATGAATCAAGCTTCGTCGTTGAAGATGTTTATACCCTGATACTACTTATTAATTTAAAGTAGCGTAGAAGAACAACAACAAATGAAGTAAATGATTAATATGTAGAACCTGGTCTTCAAGTCCACGTATACGTTGTTTATAGCTACGTTCTTTGAGTTGTAATGTTTTTTGTGTATCATTTAGAGCGTTTCTTTGTCGATCTAACTCATTTTCTAATTCTTGACGCTGTTTTGTATTGACTTCGATTAATTGAGCTGCATACTGTTCGTCTTGTTGAGCCATATGTACCTGAATATTAGAAATATTAGATAAAAGACTGCGTTTTAATCACTTTCTGTAAGATAATTTCGTGTGTATAAACGCGAAATTGGCAGAAAAAACCATTGTTCAATTTTCAAAACACCAAGGTTTTGTTTAAAAAGAAGTTTATAGAGTAATTAGTAAAACTGCTATTGGTTATTGTTTTATCTTAGCAAGGTGCAGATGTCGTACAAATCGAACGGTTAGTTGTCTTTATAAATGTTTCTGGGATTGTGGTACTATTTTTCTTTTGAAGTAAGGATATCATCTTTAAAAATGGTTACTGAATAAAAATAACTTGACTTTTGCCGGAAACATAACATAATTACAACTCGGATTTATTATGGACTGATGATAAAACTAACGAAGTACAGATTCATGTAATTGGCTTTGATTAATACTTTATATTTGAGGGGTGGTGATACTGCGTTGTTACGCAAACCGAAGTATATAGAAGAAGATTTGAATCTGCTGCGCAGTGGTTGAAAGTCGAACGACCTAACCACTAAGCTACGGCACCACGGAGACTAGTGGGGAGGATGAAATAATTTATTTATTCGCTTACTTCGAATACGTAAGTTATGTCCGCCAACTTTTTTTGAAAAATGGATGAAACAAATATTTAATTTAAAGTAATCTTTTAGATCGAATTCAATTTTTATAATCTATAGCGCAATTCTACTAAATCTTTTTAGATAAGAAGACAGAGTCAACATCAACTCTGAGATGCAGATACATCCAGCTGACGAGCCCCAAATGGGACGAAACGCATATCGTGGATTTCACTGCTATCCACTATCCATCTTTTGTCAGACACCTGTATTATCTATAAAATAAAAGTAACTATTACTTATCTACAAAACGCTACTATGTAAAATATTCTCAGTAGTAATAATTTTATTGTAAACTCAAGGAATAACTTTACATTCAAAATGTTTTTATAAGAGTTCTAAAAATAATAACGATATTAGAGTATTTATGGTTTTTCGGCACACTTGAGTTAGCCTCCTAGTACTTTATAGGGTCTTGATAACTTAACGAACAGAAAGTGAATTCAAGTGTGAATTTTTCCTGCTAATAGGCTGAACTATTACAAGTTCACAAAAAGACGTTTTCCATATAGTATTATTTTGGCGATATGAAACGAAATCCATCGCAGTAGTGGAATTACATTCATCATCGGAATCTTAAATTAAGTATGATTTCTAACTTTTCATATTTTCACCTTATTCCTTGTGAACTGTATTTCTCACGCTTAAATTTCGGTTGTAGTTGGAATTATATTCTTCTTTTCGCCTCTCACCTTGTTACTTTCTTACTTCAATGAGCCAATGTAAGGCGTAACAATGTGGATCGGTATAGATTCGTATCAGATCCTACGCTGATAACAACTGACTGACTTTTGATGCTATCAACGTAAGTAAAACCAATCCAGCATATTAGTATGTTTACTATAAAATGACATAAAAGTTTCGTGTTTATTTTGCCTCACTTATGACAAGATAGTTTTCAGTTAACAATCAATGAATTATGTTACTATTTAACGTATAATCACATGTTTATTATATATCTGGCGTAACTTTTTTTAAGGCAAATGATTAAATAGTAAATCATATTGAATGGACAAATAAACATTAAAACTATCTCTCTTTTTAATTTACTTGAAGTTTTTGTATTTCTCGACGTAAATTTAATGTTTCTTCTTCTAGTCCACGAATAGTTGTCATCAATACGGAATTTTCATTACGTAATGTATTATTTAATTCTTGTTCTTTTGTACGTTCTCTTTCCATCTAAATTTGTTAACAGAAAAAAAAGACCAATTATAGAACTAGTTCTAATATTATTTAAATAAAATGCTCTAGAAATATTTATGCGTGAATACTTTTCTTGATTTTAGTAAATTAATTTGATGATCCCTAAAATATAAGAAAGGACAAAAATAACTGATTCTAGACTTTATTGGGACTTTAACTTCATAAGCAAAAGTCCTAAGTTTCAACAAATAGTATCGTAAATAAATACTACTCAGGGAACTTTATCAGATGTCAGATCGTTATTGACGAATAATATACTGATTCATTTTGTATTGTTTGCTTGAATCTTCTCATTGACGTTTAGGACTGCAATTGATCAGTCTGGTTAGCGCTTAGCATTTAAGGAATTCTTTTCATGTATAATAACATTTATTATTGATATCAAATAACAAGGAACTCGGATAAATGTCCACAAAACAGGATTAATAAGTCATTTCTCTGATGTACTAAAAAAAGTGAACTTTATTAGTTGGCTGATTTGAATAAATGCGTTTTTGAAGATCAGTCTATTGAAGAAGAGAAAATTCTATGATTAGAGACTGGGAGATGAAGAAGATAAACGAAATTCTACATCTATGTCAATAGTGTTGATCATTGATTGGAAGTAGTATATATATATATATATATATATATATATATATATATATGTTTTAGTACAAAAGAGACGTTTCTAGTTCGGTTTTAACTTTTAAAATCTGACATGAATGGAGAGACTAAGTTTAGTTCAGGTTTAAATTCTAACTAAGAAATCAAATCTAAACTTCGCTCTAGCAGTGCATGTTAGTAATATAATATTTGATACTGTAATTCAAAAATGTCTCACTAAGCTGTTCAACTAAAGTTAATTTTCTAATTTTTTATCTACAGCACTTACAACAATGATAAGGATGTTAGACTACAGTTTAGTATTAAATAATATAAACGACAAAGTTCTCCATTGCATCAATTGAACTTTACGTAGGTGAAAGTTATTTTTGACTAAACTGTTGACTTATATGTATATATACTATATTTGAAGTAATCTCAGCGATTGAAATTTAAGGAATTTCAACGTTTCATCCAGCAATTTTGTTTGGAATTTTTCAGGGTATTTATCAAAATCAAAATTATCAAAGAACAAATCTGCACTAAAAGCTTATTTAGGAAATTATAAGTCATTTAGACGTATATAATGCAATAAGTCCACAATGTGAACATAATAAATGTGTATGTATGTGTACTTTTATGTTATTAGTAATTACAACTACGTGAATAAATGTAGTCTCTTTCTACTATCATAAACATTCTAACCATTCTATTTATGATTAATAATAATAGTACAATGGAAAAGTTTTCTAAAACGTCGAAGCGTATGTACAATGAGAAACGTGATTTTAAAACATTCGAATTAATTTCTTTTTGTTGGAATAAAGCTACAGGTGATATAAACAGGGTAGATAGATAAAGTATGGACTACATGTCATTAAGCATTTTCCAGAGGGTGGCTAGTTGCGTTCCATATTTTCTGTTCAGGCTGTTCTGATTAGCCCATATATACAGCGTTTCTGTTGTCAATCTTGCTTTGCGCGCGCCGAACCCTTTCTGAAGTGGTTTCTGTTAAATTATTCGTTCAAATATTGACGAATATTCATATAGACTTGATTATTATAGGGTAATTAACTCAAGTAATATTTATAGTATGAACAAATATTTCAGAAAATGTTTCAAGAACATAAAAAACACTGTATAGATTTAATGGCATCTGAAATAAACATTGATTATTTTAAAACTCACTTTTTCTGCCATTTTCTTCCATTGAATTTGTTCTTTTCTTACTCGTGTTAATTCACAATCGATTTCATGTTTTTGTATTCCGGCATCATTCATACTTCTTAATAAGTTGGCGTTTTTTTCAGTTAGATTAGCATTTTCAACTGAAATACATACATATACATATATATTAAAAATAAGTAAGTTGGTTAACTTCTAAACCAAATAAAATAACCATTTTAAAGATTAGTTGTATGCATAAAAATCAGTATTGGTTTCTAACTGTTGTATACAAAGTATGTTTTAATCTCAATTTCATATCAATAACGGATGCTTACATTTAATCATATTTTTTTTAGATTCAAATGTTTGTATACATTTAATTACTTTCAGCTTATTTAACAGTAGTAATTTCTATTACAATTTAATTATGGTTATTCTTATGGATAAGTTATATAATATATGTTTTCAAGGTGTATATGTAATTGCTTTCTTTCTTTGTTTGAACCAGAGTGATATTTATCTTTTTTGATTATTTAAGCAGAGTATACTTATTCGTTTATGAGAGCCAATACATAATGTAAATAGCCTTCTTAAACACTTTTGTAGGCTGCTTTAGCATGCTCATAATTAGTCAGAAATTTTTTACCATCATAGGTGGGAAATGACAGTGTAATATATAATCATCCTACTTCGTGATTGATTTGCTGAATAGCAAGCGAAGTAGGAACATAGGAATGTTAAAATACGTCATTATTTCCATGCATAGCTTCCCCTATATCGTTGTTCCATAACTTTTCAGTGAATTTCTTAGTAGTGTTTTTGTATTAGAATTTTCTATAAAACTATCTATGACCATGAAAAAAGATTCAAAAAGTAACCTGTTTACTCTCAAATAATTAAGATTCTTTAGCGACGTTTTTATAATAATAATAATAATAATAATAATAATAATAATCGGATTGAACTTTAAATCTTTAAAGAATAATAGATTTTTTAAGACTATCATACTGCTAACGGTTTGATTGGTTCTCTAGCAAATTGTTTTTGATTTCCACAAACTTCCTCATCATTTTGACTGAAAAACAGCTTTGAAATTACAAATTCTTTTTTAACACCATAGCTGACTCGAACCTATAGTGTAATTATATCCTTTTCAATTATTGTATAAATGTAGTTTTAAAAGTTTTACTTTCTCTCACCCTGTATATTATTGATCTTCATTTGCAATTCATTATTAGTATGTTGACATTCTGTTGATAATCTTTCTAATTGCTTTAGCTGTATTTCTACTTCAGAACGTTTAGCAGCTGCATCTGTCGTTTCCATTTGTAGTTTTTGTACACGTTCCATCATTTCATGTAATTGAACTTTAGTATCATTTAACAAGTTCTTATTGTTATCTAAACGTTCCTAAATTAAATAGGCAAATTAATAAACGTACTTATTGGTACGGTTTGCATTGAAGTAAGTGTAAACAAAAGGGAAAACAGTTTAGATTTTGAGTTGTTCTTTTAGAAAAAAATACCATTTTGTTGTCATAATTCATCGTTAAATATATTCAAGTGGTTCGTCCACAAAGTGGTACGGCAGTCGTGTTTGTTTTCGAATTTTATGTAGATTCTGCTTCTTTCCAAGCTTCATTTTTCTTGATCAATTATTGTCGTTCATTTCGATGTAATTTATAGAATTTCGTTACTGAATACGATTCTGCGCTGATATGAACATTCCTATCAGTACAGAAAGGTGTTCTCACGCATCGTTGTTTAATAATGGTGAGAATTTTTTAAAATAATTAAAATATTGTGGGCGACCTATTTCATCAAAAGTCCTCGATAAATTTCTGATGTATAAAATCATTGTGGAATTGATAATATGAATCAGGTCACCATCTAAAATTATTTTGGTAATCACTGAGTTGTAATGAAGTAGTCTATCAGGAAAAATTAAATCGTTAATTATTCAACTAGACTTACTCGTTTCATTTTGATATTAAAAAGATGAAGATGAATACTTATTTGTAAAAACATTTGTTAATGAATTAGCGGATGACTTCGAAGTCTCACTTGTGAACTACATTACATGGATTACTAACCATAGGACAAAACGAAAACCTGTGCAATTATTAAAAGAGCTAGAAAATCTAACAGCTAAAGTTCACAGATCTTCCTGTTAATTAAAATCTGTTTACGTTTTGGTTAATCAAATTTAGTTATCAAAAAAATTTTCAACCACCAGCTAATTTCAACCTTAAGTCACTCAGAGTACCAGTCTTGAGTGGTTATTAAGTTTCAGTAGTCATCGAACGGAGAACGACAATATGCCATTGAATAGGTAATAACATCGATTTATAATCTATGGCAGTATCCTCACTTGTGTATGAGAAACAGAAATTGCAACTGTAACTGAACAAGTTTACCTAGTGATATAATCCGAAACGAGAAATTATATACTCTAATAGTAGTTAATAGCTATTGTAAGTCAATGACCAAACTGACATCGTGATTGTGACTGTGAAATGATAGATACTGGCTTTATGTATCCTCTCTGCAATAGGAACAGAGTGGTCGTGAGCGGTTCTAGGTCTCATTTACCAAATACTAACATACGTTTGGTAGTGTCAAGGTATTTAAAATGAAAATTCTGTCCAAATCTTCCAGATAAGCACTGATGATTTGAATTCATTAGGTTTAACAAACTATTTTTAGTTAGCTAAATCGAAGTGTTATAGTTTGTTCAGAACGGAAGGCTATTGTTTCATGTTGAAGTCATCTGTCACTAGTGTAAACGAACTCTCTAAATACTACTCATTCGGTATGCACGCATTATTGTGAGTCTTAAACATGATTACATCCATCAGTAAAGTGTCTCTAGAAAACTCAGGAAACACTTCATAATTCTACAAAGTTTCATGGGTTTGAGTAGTGATCGTAAGTGCTATTGAAATAAGTGACGGTTTGTATGATCGGATGTTTTCAAATTCTAATTATAATATTATTTTTCCATGTACGATTGATATTAGCACGCTCAAATAAACTAAAAAACTGTATTGTTATACCTGTAATAAGCGTTTTTCTTGTTCTGCATTCAGTTCGCGTTTCTGTGATGCTTCCATGTGTTCTTGTGTTCTAGTTAATTCTTGTTGTAAATTTGCATAAGCCAGTTTTTCGCGTGTTAGTTGATCACGTAACTCAGCTACACACAAAGTTGTTTGATCTAAGGCATTTGTAGCTCTTTCTAATTCGATTTGAAGATTGTATATTTTCATTTCCATTTCGGTACCTTGACGTCCACTCACATTTAAACGGGATTGTAAATTCTGGTGTAAGATGAATCGAAAAAAATTCAAGTGTTTCAGCATTTAGATTTAGTGGAAGTGACTGTGAATGACTGAAAATATTATTTATGTGCACGGTCAACAAAGATTGACTGTAAGATTAACCACTGACACATATCTACAAACAAATCACTGGTCACGTATATTCATTACATCGTACTGTTATTCGATCCTGATACTGATTATACATGCTACCTATAAGCAACCTCAATCTAGTGAATGGTAAGACTAAAAATGACTGAGTGGCTAACCAAATCATTTATATACTCGACCCATTGATATATGCATATATTTGTCCAAACCAAGTCCTAACAAGTTGGTTTTTACCAGTAGCTCACTTCCTTTAACGTCTCTCACCTAACATTTGGTCTTAAGCTATTATGTGCACACAAACACATATTATATTTAAATTCATCCAGAGAGCTTCCACTGTACATGAAATCTCTCGTATTAAGACTGAGGTTGGTTTTTATTTACTCAGATAAAATTAAGTAGTGTGGGTCTCAAACAAGTTAACTAAACAGCTAAAAGGTGATCCAAGGCATGAACCTACTATTTAATATCATTTATCCATTCAAAAATGCATTTCTAAATTTTTCTATCAATACAAGTTTCTATACTTCTATAGGTCTTTTGTATTAGTACATTCGTTTACCATTATTTAACAGTTAGATTTGTTCCATAATATTTTAATGATGAACATAATTGGTAAATATCAGGTTTATATGAGTAAAATTTGGTGTAGAATTTAATTATAATATAGACTTTGATTATAAATGTTTATTTTATGTTTCGGCGAAAATTTGAATTAAAATTCAAACTAGTGATTTGAAATATATTGAAAATCAGAAAGCTACAAATACAGCATCACTACAGATTTTCTTAAGAATAAACCTACAAACTGATCTATGTATCTCACATATATGTGCATTTTATACAAATAAAAAGACTAGAGAAAATTAATTTACAATGCATTTAGGTTTTTAATATTTAATTTTAAGTACACCATTTAGAATTTAAGTTTCATATCACAGACTGGTTTTTCTTGGATAATCACTGAAAACCAGGACAGTTGTCTGATTTCAGGATCGTACTCTCCAGGAGTGCGTAAACACGACCCCTTGATTCGTCTTCAGGCCTCGTGTCGACAGCTTAATTTTTAGATTACTAGGTTGATATCCAGTAATTGACATTTCAATCAACTTGTTATGTCCTTCAGTCATCATCCATTGCCATTTGTGGTATTTATTTCACATCTGACATAATTGAACTAAACTGGTTATGACTTCTCAGTAGAACTTCGGGAATCACTTCGCGAAATCAGTCACTGGTAATCACACGATGATTGTTATGACCAGGTGTTTAGAAGATTGTTAACTTTGAAGTTTCACATTGCAGATTGGCTTTGGTTAGACTGTATCCCTAAATAGCGACAGCCAATAGTTAATAACCGTCGGTTTGGGTTATATAGGAAACGGCAGGGTCGCTAAACTGTTAAATGAGGACTGCAAGCAAATTTCGAGATAGGAATACAGCAAGTCTTATACTTATAGACTTCAATATTTTTACTGAAGCTTTGTAGTTATTGAAACGATTCGACGATAACTGTTTGTTTTACGGCAAAATCATTGTTCATAGATTATTCGAAGTACTCACCTCTTTGTCACTTTCTAATTCACTTAGTATAGTTTGACACCGTTGAAGTTCACCTTCCAGTTGACGTCGAACGATTTCAGCTTGTGTATAACGTGTTTCTGCTTCCTCTAGTGAATGCAATAATTCTCGTCTATTTTCTTCTAACTTAATTTCTGCAGCTCTAGACTTTTCTAGACGTATCTAAAAATTATAAAAAGGTAACTAGATTTCTAAAAATAGATTTGTTGTGATCAATTTTAGGTGAAATAGTCCTAGATTATTGATTTTGAAGTGTTCTAACTTTCGTTAGAAGCCTGGTTACTAACTGGATTTCAATTCTACTTAATTTATCGAATATGAAGATGTTAGACACTTAATAGATGTCATGGGTAGTACTTTTAAAACTTATTATGGCCTAAATAAGACTGAGAGCATTGTAAAAACATTTTATTTGGCGAATGGACAAATATAATATTCAGATGTTCTAGGTTTTTCCAAAAAGCATATTGACTGACTTACTGATCTGTAGTAGTATAGTTTTATTTGTACTAATAATAGCAAATAAAGTAATCCCTTTATACTGATTAAATATATTTTTTTGGGAAACAAATGCAACAAAATTCAAATCATATCCACTACTTATAATATCATACTGATTAAAAGGAGTAGGTGAGATCTACTCCAAAAGTTAAGAGGAAGCTGTCAGAAATGTTAACATTGTTTAAATAAGTGATGATTTTTCTGTTGTTGGTCGAACGATGAGCTAGTTAGGTGTTGTACTTAGAGTGATTCATCTTAGCGAGAACTGTCTAGACTACATGCATACAAGTTCAATATGAAAGCCTCTTAGTCATATCGAATTCCTTCTTTGTTGTTCAAAGTAGATTATGGTAGGTAGTGGACATATCATTTTCTGAAAGATGATCTAATGGAACTTTGTGGCAGTAGTTCATTTAACTGTGGAGCTCATATTTTAGACCGCAAGTTTATTAAATACTAAATTTGCTTTCAGTATGATTTTAGGAATATTTATATGCACAGTAAATACTACGTTTGATGTTAAATGTTTGAAAACCTCAATGATTTTAAGAATGTTTACGCTTGACTAAAGTTGTTCAGTAGTCTATACCTTAAGTTTCTAAGAAATATATTTTGAAATTGCAGTATTGTAGCTTAAGGTTATGACGATCCTATCAAAGATAAAAGTGTATATCAGTCATTTACTAATAACTCGTATCTTGTTCTAAACCTCAGTCACGAATCAGAGTTTTACCTTTATGCCCTACTACGCAATATAAAGAAGGCCGTTAAAACATATTCATTTTAGCTCAGTCATTCAAAACAAACAGAAAGTAAGGCTACTTTCTCACTTAACGCCATAGTTTAGTAATCATTCAAACTTTATATCATTATAATACACAATAATTGTTATTTAGTTATATCCTTTGTCAGTATACAGGTGAAGTTGTATAATGCGTCGACATAATTAGGTCATAAAAATATTACTTTGTCTTGTATAATTTCTCAAAACTAGCAATATAGAAAAAATTTTAACGATATTGTACAAACAAGTGATACTATATCAAGTTATCGAAGCATCATGTACCAATTTGTGTGTACAAGGAAAACATATTTAATCGCTTTGACAGAGGCACAAATGTACATAGACTATGGATTTTAGCCAACCACAAGTTAGACTGAGCGACAGTAATAAGAAATTGCTGTCAGTATCTTGATCTAGGCAGATTCAAGAGTTATTCAGTGAGTTTCAGATGCAATATCTGAAGAATGAGGATCTACTGATCGAGAATGGAGAGTGAATGATTAAAAAATCGATTGTAGATACTACATAAAGACTGAAGTAAGCACTGTAAATAAGATACTTCAGGAAAGAGTATGAATATTTCTAAGTTAACTGCTAGTAAATTTAATAATAGTTTTGCCACGGAAATTCATTGATGTAGTTCGAATCAATCTCCTGGGACTCGAACCCGATACCGTTCACTTAAAACTTCAGTCAAAATATCAACAACAGATTATTCCAATCCATCTCCAAATAGATTTGCATTCACAGAATTGTGTAGAACATAAGGTCACTTATGTCATCAAGGATAAATTAGAAATTGTAACCTCTATTACAGTTATCAGATAATCTTTTTATACATCTATGAATTTAAGAGGATTTTTTCCTGCCAATAAACAGTGATTTTCTGTATGATAATTCCTTTAATTTTCAAGTGTAATACTCAGCATACAAAAACTGCCTAGGAAAACACTACTCTGTAAAGTAAACTCATTATTTATATTGAAAATACTATTTTTCATTGATTTCGATAGAATAATGGTGAAATTATGTTAATCCACTAATTATCAGAATTGTAATAATTTTAACAGCTGGATTCATTAGTCAATCTAAACTAAAACTACCACTGAAAAACCTAGAAGCACTGGACGTCCGTTTCGTCCTAGCATGGGACTCCTCAGCAGTGCGCATCCACGATCCCGCACGTGTCCAGTGCCTCCAGGTCTTCAATGGTGGTCTAGCTTAAATTGACTTATGAATTCAACTGTAAAAATCCAATAATTATTTATTGTTAAAGTTATATCAATAAACAATTTTTATTCTTACCTGTAATTGATTTTTCTCAGCTTCACATGTACTTAATTGTTGTTCTAAACCTTTGATTTGATTATGTAATGTTGTATATTGATATTCACGTTTGGACATTTCATTTTCATGTTCTGTAATTGTATTTTTCATTTTATTCAACTGTTCCATAATTTCTAATTTTCCTACATACATTTGTTTTTTTCCAAAAAAATATTCATTGACGAAACATTGAGAGAAGGAAATAAAGATTAGATTTCCTTAATAACTGGTACAAAAATACCTGTTTTGAAGTAACATTGATGTGTAAACTCTAGTCGCAAATATAATATTTTTTTACAGTGAATCTGTTACTTTAAATTTGGGTCATAGCTAATATTTCGGTAGTACTGATAATAATATCTGGTATAACACTGAAAGTTTTGTCAACTAATAGTTTTGAAAAAGTATATGTTGGAAAGCACTACGTTGAGAAATTTGGTTGTTGGAAGGAAAATGCGCAAATAACTTGTTGATGACGTCTCAGACTAAAAAATTGGGTGAAACGCTTTCAGATCCCACACAAACCATTAGATCCTTCAAGATTGCAGGTACGGCTTACTGGTGAGTGTCAACAAGCACGAAACTTAGGTTAAGGGATTCCTGTTAACTACTTGCAACCACCTAACACCTAAATATTGTGCACGTGATATTGAGCCATTTGGGCTAGTAACCACATTTTAATTTGACCGATATGATTCAACCAGGACCAAAGGACTAGAAAAATATAATGCCTTTTATTACTCAATCGTCAGTCAATTATTAGAGAGCGTCAAAACAAAAATGTAAGAAAATTTAGAGTTGGAAAAATTAACATGTACTAATAATGTATGTGTGATGAAGTAACATTAGACGTTAATAAAATTACAGTCAGATACTAACTAATATACAGTCCGAATGCTTACTGGTAATGAAATGTGTGGTGATAGGATTGACACGTCAATGCACTGTAGATTAAGCTATTTAACTGAAACTAACCGAAATGAAATAAATTCAAATTATGACGTCAGTTTTCATCAAGGATGAAGATACTGCTTTCCTGGTGATTATTATAAAAAAAACGTCGTCTGTCACGAGGTTAGTCACTAGTGAGCACATGGTAATTATCAGTATAGGGTTGTGGAGATTATTAAGTTATTGATTGAGATCTTGAATCGATCGATGTTAGACCACCATTGAAAACTTGGAAGCACTGGACGGCCGTTTCGTCCTATTGTGGGACCCCCCAGCAATGCGCATCTAGGTTTTCGATGGCGGTCTAACATCAATCGGTTTAAGATCCCAATGAATTGTTTGATTCACATGCTATAGATCAACACCAGATTTTTACAAGAAATAATGTATCTAGCTGGTGACATAAATTTAATTGGATTGGTTAAGATAAGAGAAAGGGAATGTAGTTATTATCTGATTTGAAAATCTATAAAATTATATATGTGAATATTAGTTCTTAGTTAAACCCGATTTCAACAATTATATTTTATACCAGGAAGTAATAATCTAAGAAAAATAGTTTTTAGTTTACTTTGTAGTGTCGGTTGCTACGTCAAGCCCACATAGCTTATTCTAGCTTTCGGTCAGACTAATTTATTCATTTTCCTTAAATCATATTTTGACCTTGTTAATTATTCGTTTATCAATCTTGTCTGTTTTTATGTAAGCGTGTGTATGTGCATTTCTTATCTTATCACATGGCTGTAACTCATTTTTATCTGACTACAGGCTCACATGCCTTCTCCGGTTTGTTTCACTTTGCTCTCTGCACTCTCACACTCGCTTTCCTGTGTGATTGCTACCTGCGTTGCTTGAGAATTTTTATTAATCATTAACAATATATACTATCTCTACAACTGGTGTTCTGGATTTTGAACAATCTCAAGTAAATTCATGATACTACAAGGAGATTTGACCTTCATAAATACTCAGTTAACGGGATATTATTTATTGGAGTCAGATATAGGAAAATTAACCTCTACAACTTATGTGAAGTTTGTCTAATTAAATCAGCGACTAATTTGGTATTTTATTTAAACATACCTTTTTCCATATCATTAGCATTTATTTTCATTTCATTCAGTTGTTCTTCACGTTCATTTAATTGTCGACTGTATTCTACAACTTTTTCTTCATTCAATTTTGCTTTTATATCAAAATCATCTCGTTCACGTTCAATTTTTACAAGATGACGTAAAAATCGTCTTAATGCTAAACGTACAGCACCTGGATCTAAATTGGAGCCTGGCAAAGCATGTGTTCTATAACTGTTCATATGATAACGTATAGTATCTAACCATTTGTAAGACCAATCAGATAAATGTGTTAGATAATCAGGATGGAATAATAATCCATTCTCATCACCTGAATAAAATGTACTATCAATTAATCTCTGTTGATCAGCTCTTTCAGTAGATGTTGATCGTAGGGCGAATCCATCGTACCTGTTTACTGTAACGGAAGACACATGACCCATGTTTTATTAAGCAGTTAGTACAAATCAAAATATAGATAGTTTCTCTTCACTTTAGAATATCCCAATAAATAAAGTTATTTTACCACAACAGCGTGTGTCAACCAGTAGACAAATGAGAAAGTTTCGTTTCTTCCTATTTGAATATATATATCAAAGGCATTATTTGTAAACAAGGATATTGTGAGATAATTGGACAAAATAATAAAATTTCCCTCTATTTTAACTTTTATCGACTGTAATCTGATTTCGAATAAGATTACTTTGTTAAAATAATATAAAATAAATTACTTCTAAAAAATGAGACTTCTCTGTCTGTTAAGCGTTTCAGCTTTTTAATGGTTATGTGATTTTACTACATCTGTTTACAGACTTTGTTTTCATGTAAAGCAATATATCCTAATCTATATGATCCATACCTTGAATGATATGTCAGTTGGATCACAAACAACTGAAAGTAACTTGCAATATGATGTTGACTCAGATAACTTAGTAGCCGCCTGATCTACTGAATTTGATCAGTATTTAGGATCAGGGTATATAACATTGATTACAATTCATTGGGGAATCATAAAGAAAACTCATTCATTTCGGGGGGATGTGCAACTAGGATATCTTACTATTAGTGTCACTAAATTACACGAGTCTGAATACATGAAGAAACTTCAGTTTCCCCATGATTGAAGGCTACCTCTGCCGATAAGTATCAGCCAACGCAAATAGTTGGTCAAGGACTCCCAGCTAATCGTATCAAACGATCCACAGAATATATTCTTTGACTGGTTAAGGTAATGATAGTCCACAAACCTTAACTATAGTTATGTCAGAACAGAAAAGACTTCATAAAAATCCGACTATTCTATCAATAAAACAGTTACATATAAAATACGTCACAGATTATACATAAAAATGAATTGTTTTAAATTTAGACAATTGTGAATGTAAAGAGATTAAATTATGCTTACTGACAAATTATCTGAGACTTAAAGTATTCTGTCACACTTCTTATCGTCATGTCACAGTGCATCTAATCTATACTTGTTTTATTGGTTATATAATTGTGTTGCTTAAAGGGTAGTTTTCAAAAGTTTGTTTAATTTATGAAAATGATTGTAACGTAGTTACCAAATGAGACTTATTAAAGTTGCATGTGTTCAATACTTAATATTTAAGAATTCATGGCAGTCATAAACTCTTAAGTCAATAATTAAGTTTTGGACTGTTAGGTAATTCAATTTATTTTCAATGAAGCATACCTCTTGTTGGTGAAGCCGATTTAGCGCGTCTTAAAGATTTTTGTCGGGTGTATTCTGGATCGGAATTATTATAAGCTTCATATCGGCGTCGACCACGGACACGTGGTTTTGGGAATTGTTCACTTCTAAATGTATACAATACTTCAGGTTTTATGTCTTGTTGACTATTTAATACTTTTTCAGCCATCATTTTTAATTTTTTAGAATCTGAATCATTAAAACCATCGATTTGCTGTTCAAATGAATCTATTCCAGAAGTATTCTTCATATAACCATCATAATCCCATTGTGAATTAACATCATGTGATTTGTCCAGTTCATCTATGTGTTCAGCTAAACTAGAGTCGAAATTATCATTCAATTGTTGTCTTTGTTGTTGCTTATTCACATTTTGTAATTGAGTAGTATATTGAGATTGACGGAAACCAATTAAACGTCTTAATATACTATGTATTGCTGATAAACGTGCCTCAGCTTCTTGACGTGTAGTCAATGTTTCATTCAATTCTGATTCTAATCCTTTAATACAAGTTTGTGATTCAGCTAATAATGTTCGAAGTTCACTGATGACTATATTTGAATTGTCCAACTGAAATAGTAACGAGTACAATAAAATCAACCTAAAATTTACATATTATCGCATAAGATTTTAAATACATGCAGTGTACATAAACTTGGTAGGCTATACTAAGTTAGTAAATGATCAGTTCTTCTTATGTGACGTGAATTTATGTAACTTTTATGAGTTTCTGTTTAAGAAGCTTAGTTCTACCTTTATTTATAAGACCAATATCCTTAAGAACTCTGTTGGATGCAACGTAGGATAACTGACATAATGTATGACTATCGTCATCTGGAAAATCAATGAGTTCTTAAGAGGTTTATTTGATGGTGTCACTTTGTGATAAAATTTGTCTTCAAATATATAAAAGTCTCCGAGATACCATTTTACTGAATTTTGTATTTATTATTTTATAGAATAGCTAACCGATGAGTTAACCGATTAGAGTTTTTATCAATAAATAGAGTAGAATATCAAATGAATTATACAAGAGGTTTTATTCCATTCCCTGGAAAAAAACAGTTGGTGTTATTTACTATGAGAATTTAATTCAACTATATAAATTTGTAGTGTTTTTGATTATCCTGTTGTTGATATTTTGACCACATGCTGATCAGTCTTAGTTGAGATGTGTATCCTGTAGGAATCGCCTTGATATAGTGATTATTTCACAAGTTTATATCCGATAGGTGAAAAGTGGCTGGTAATAGATTACACGTTGGTGTTTAGAGCTAAAAGTGTTAAATTTTAATCCTGGAGCGAATAACTTTGTGATGCAAGTACGCCCAACTGACGAGTCCCAAATAGAGTGGAATGCGCATTCTGAATTCCACTGCTAGCCACATTTTATATGTTATATATATTTGTTGTTATCTTGTTCTACAATGGTAAACGATCTAGACTAAAATTACAAACAAACACTATACGTTCCTCCATTAAAAAAATAAACATTACTAGTAACTACTAAAACATCCGAAACCATCCATGAAGATTTCATGTTGATCAACCGTATCTTAACCCTATTTATTTTAATTTATCTAATTAATAAATTAACCATAGAAATATCAAATTTAACCATGATATACTTTCGACTGTAAGCTCTTCCTTGATTCAACTAAACGTTGATAATCTTTTTGCCAATCTTCTGCAGCTTGATTTGCTGTTCTTTCTCTTGAACGAAGTATTTCTTCTAGTTCAGACATTTGATGATTTAAATCAGTTAATTCAGATTGCAATGTCGATTTCGCTGATTCAATTTCCATTAATTTTTGTTTTAGTGAAACTTTCTCACTGTTATATGAAAGAAAATAAAAGTAGTTCCAGAAAGCTTATTGATATGATTCGTGATGATATCTTTTATTTGCGTAAAATAGGATCAAGTAATATAATCACTTATCATTGTGATTTTATTAATTATTTTTATCATCATGAAACAGAAATTGACGTAAATAATACATTGAACACATTTGAAAATATCTTCCTTCAATTATCCTTTACATACTTCATTCTTTCAATATTATTATTCCGATTGCTCTTCGTTTCCTTAGTCTTCTCTTTATTTCACTCATCTGCCGGTAAGCATTCTACTACGAATTCCTGCTACATACTACTTATGTCTGTCTACATAAGTAGTACACATCACAATACTATTCGTTTGCCTAAACCGAATTAGATCTAGTAGGATTTGAACTTTTGATTTACAAATGGAAACAAAATCTTTTAAACACTAAATTACAGAACGTGATAATGTTGGATTTATTCGTTCATTTACTAAAATTTTAATTTAGACCATTGAAATATGTTATTTTATACGAATTAATTTACAGAATGCTCAAAGTTGAGCAACGGTGACGATTTTTAGAATAATCTGGATAAACGGACTGACATTTTATAACCTTGTGAGTTTATAGTGTTTTAAGTCAAAGTATTTAAACAAAAGTAAACTGTCACGAGAAGAAGCGAACAAAAATAATTGTTGGATGGGTTTAATAAATAACTCATATTACCAAGATGTATCTATGAAAATCATTTTAGTGGTAAAATTTATATTGTTTACTATGCCTTACATAATAGAGGTTTCTAGAAAATTTTCTTCACTTAATATAATTCAGACAGCTAGATGAAGTATCTTTTAACAAACTGGACTGAACACTATTTTTGCTTTCGATCTCTGAATTACACTAATTTGTGGTCACATGTAACTACGTGATGAGACGCAGTATACTGTTTTGTGCATAATATTAACTATTAATCGATAATTAAGTAAATATAAGTAGAAACAGAATATAAAAATCAGCTTAACTACTACCACTTTCTCTCCTTCTTCGCAATTCAACCAGGTATGCATGTAGAAGAACCCCTAAAGTTTCGTACATCTCTTAGTTAATATTAAATTTAATAAGATAACAATTTAGAGATATAGGTCTTGTGTTTTGGTAGTATACCTATAGTACATGAAAATGCTTTTAAACTGTTTAGATAATATTTGTATGTGAAGAAAATGATTTTTCGACCAGAAGCTTAGTTTGATTCCCACTAATTTCATTTAGATTTAAAAACTTAATGTTTAGTTATTGCATTAGATAACATATATTAGTTAATAGCAGAGATAATCGATAATAGAGCTACGTTTAATAAAAAACTAGGCACTATGACTTCCGCTGTTTGTAGTTGGAGCAGTCTGATAACATTTTTCAAATTTGATGTGATTCAGTGCATAGTTTTCGATGGTACATTTACACTGATGACACTACTTATTTTTCTTCCTTGTCAATTGCTGAACTATGAAGTGCGGTCCTTCGAAATGTGATAAATAAACTCACCTTTGTGTACCCCAATATGTTTTTAAGTAAATTGTTTAATCATCTAGTGCTAAATAAAATTTTCAAATGAAAATATTTGAAGTATACTTCCTTAATTGGTTAAAACAAGAAGAAAAGCCTTGATTTTATGCAATTAAGTTTGTTAGTTAATCTTATTATGCATCATTTTGCTCTAAATTGAATATTGAAGAATGAATCAGTCACATTTATGCTTAAAAACAAAACAACAAACCGTTTTAAACTTTCTTCTTGATTCACGCTTTCTCTTAATCGAGCTTTCAACTCTTCGATTTCTTCAGTTAATTTCACATTTTCGGATTCAACTCTTTGTAATTTACCGCGTAATTCTACAATTTCACGTTTACTTTCATTTGCTAAAGTTGTAGCTTCTTTCAAACCAACTTGTAGGTCAGCTACACGTTTCTCTGAACTTGTTCGATCCATTTCAGTGCCTTGTAGTTTAGATTTTAGTGAATTAGTCATACGAACTAAATCGACACGTTCTAATTCAACACATTTCAATTGTTTTCTTAATTCTTCATTAGAACGATTTATAGCAGTTTTCTCACGTTCCAATTCACCAAGTTTTTGACTTAGTTCACTGCATTCTCTTCTTGAAGAATCATTTATTTCTTCCACTGATAAAAACAGAAGATAATATTAATTAGCATATTAATTAAGTAAACAGAAATGGAATTGACATTTTGAATTACTACTGTAGAAATGTTTGCAAAGAGATAAGTCTATTATGTTTAAAGTTAATGTCTATAAAGCAATCTTTATGATCGTTTAACTCATACCACTAAAATGTGATTCATTTCACTTTATTTGTAAAAGTATTGTAAATAAAAGTACAGATAATCGAAGTCAGGTAACATAAGAGAAATTTCCAAATTTCTTTTTTAATCTCTTAGTAACTCTTTATATTTGATATAGTCAAATAATAAATTTTATGTTTAATTTTCGCAGCACTTTGATATCAGTCGTTTAACAAGAAAAACGTCAAACAATATTCTATAGATAATACTTTCTACATTAAAATACCTTGTATCTACTTAACTGACCTTTTACTCCCAACCAGATTATTTTTGTTTCCATGCTCTTTCTGATTACTACATTTCATCTCAACTTTAAAACTTTATCTTACTATGTGACGCAATCTTTTTTCACAATTATTAATCTTTACATAGTCTCTTGATGAATATACAGACTTTTAACACTCACATTTTTAGTCACTTGATAAAAATAACATTTTTGTTCTCTTGTTTATTTTACCCCTTATCTGCTACTATGTTTGGAAAATTATAATTATCATTTACAAGAATCACTATTAGTATAGAGGATCTGTGGAGATTTTACTATTTTTACATATTAAATTACGAAATGACGTTGGCTAGATCACCATCGAAAACATGGGAGGACTAACTGGCTGTTTCACCTTAGTATGGGACTCCTAAGCAGTGATCACTCATAATCTCACACTCGGAAATCGAAATTAGGACCTTCAGTGTCGTGCATGGACGCTTAATCTCTATATCACTGAGGTGGCATTCTAGCTTCAATCAAATCATGGTATTGAGTAACCGTTATTCATTTCCTGTGGTAGAAAACTACCTCACACCCGACACGAATTTAAATCCACTGGCTACGGCTTCTCACTAACACTCGATGAGTTATATCCTGAGGCTAGTGACTAGTGAATACATAAATATTATTAATATTGCCGAATTTGTGGAAATTGCAGAATTATTGCATATCGTTTTGGAAATAAAGTATACATTTTCAACCTTAAAACTTGGGAAATGAATTCACCGAAAAAAGAACTCTTCACTGGACCAATCTTTCGCGTTTTTATGTCACAATCAGTATATTTTAATATATTTAAAATAGTTAACTTATTAGAAAAAAGTGTCACCAAAATCATTTTAAAATTAAAAAAAAAGCAATTTCGAAACAAATAACTTAAAGTTATTATCATTTAATATCAAATAAATCATTGTATATTAAAATGGATTATTATATACTTACAAGCACGAATACGGTATGTACTATCTACTAATTCTGTACGATTAGTATCTCGAACCTCTTCAGCCAAACGAATTTTTATTTGAAGTTCACTAACTTCTTTTGTCCACTGATCTTTTTGACTTTCAAGACTGTGTATACGCATTCGTAATTCCCGGTTTTCTCTTTCATGTTCAGAACTATTCACAAATAAAACGATTAATCTTAAAATACAGCATATATATATAAATTATTAAATGGAACAGAACAGTTCATTTTTATAACTCTATATTGATTGTAAATTGTTATTTAGTATATTTTGAATGAGCGACATGAATGCCACTTCTATGTACTTCTTTGAATAGCATCTAAGATATTGTTTCATTTCAGTTTCTTAAAAAAATAAATTTCCTTAACGAATCATAATCCAAGTACATAATGAAGAAGAAAAATAAGTAAATCTAGTAAGTTAGATAAAGCAGATTGGTTCGGTTTAAAGATATATTTATTAACCATACTAACTGTTCGAAGAAGTGTTGACAACTGAGAAACACTACATAGGTGCTTTGTTATGGTATGTGCACTCACAAACTGACAACCTGACTAAATTTGAAAATGTGAAGCATTGAATTTCAATTGGCCTTAAAAACCTAACGATCTTGATTTTGACCTTGTATAGGGTTATGATTATACATTGATAAATAGTTTTAAGCCAGGTTTTAAACGGTTTCCCGGTTGATTTTTAGTTCGTGACGAAAGTTCCTAACAAACAATGAGTTTCTAAGTTTCAATCCTGTTTGAAAAATACTAGGAATTATAAACTAAGACATAAATAAGCATTTAAAATGACATACAGGGAAACAATTAAAATAAATTAAAAATGAGTAAAGATCTTTTTCAAACAACTAATTACCTTTAAGCATTTTTTCTGAAACTAGAACAATAAATTATGAATCAAACTCATTTCATATTGTGTACACAAAACCTTTTAAAATATTCATAAATTCCATCAACTAAATGTACTTACACAAATGTTGCTTTTTAATGAAGCTATTATAAAATAATCAAGTTCAGTAATGAAAAAAAAAACAACAACAGTGCTTTCCATAACTATACAAATCTGATCTTTTTGATCACAGAATAGAAAAGAGCGATCACAAATTAATTAACATTATGCTCTAAACAAAAAAAATATTCAATGGATTGACTGGAATATCAACGATAACTTGTGTTTTGGTTAGAAACTTCGTATCATTTGACGTGATGCTCACAATATTGTACATAAGTATTTAACAGGTACGAGTAGAAAATTATAAAAGTTTGTAAAGATAAGGTAACTTTATAAAAACGTTCTGTTCAGAAACAAAATATTTAACATTGAACAATCATACATAGGAGTGTTAAGTATCTGTGAATAGTCAAGCTTATTGTTTTTGGTGAAGATAAAGCCATGCTAACACATAAATTTTATGACCGGATTGACAAATTCATAATATCCCACTTTTTTTACCTGCTCATATGTGTTTATAGACAGTTGTATATAAGGAAGGGTAAACAATACTTTAATAGATCATTTATTTAAATAAAAATGAATATACGCTAAAGTGTTTACTGATAATATTGAAGTGACTGTATGGGGCAGAAACCTGGAGAACTACAAAAGCCATCATCCAGAAAATACAGGTGTTTATCAACAATTGTCTACGCAAAATACTTCAGATCCATTGGCCGGACACTATTAGCAACAACAAAATGTGGGAAAGAACAAACCATATTCCAGCGGAGGAAGAAATCAGGAAGAAGCGCTGGAAGTGGATAGGACACACATTGAGGAAAGCACCGAACTGCGTCACAAGACAAGCCCTCACATGGAATCTCAAGGCCAAAGGAGAGAGGAAGACCAAAGAACACATTACGCCGAGAAAGGGAAATAGACATGAGAAAAATGAACGAGAATTGGATGGAACTAGAAAAGAAGGCCCAGGACAGAGTGGTTTGGAGAATGCTGGTTGTTGGCCTATGCTCCATTGGGAGTAACAGGCGTAAGTAAGTAAGTAAGACTGTAGAACAGTTTAAATTAAGTAATACTTGTAGACAAACTTTAGTTTAAAGGCATTCATTTTGACGAAAGGAAAGAAAAATATGGGTCAAAAGTTCAGTGTATTTCATTTTGTGAAAGTTTCCAGACGTTTAGCAACTTTACTTCGACACAATAGCCTAATCTCCAGTAAAATAATATATCTATCAACGTGCTTTATTCAAGCGATTTTTTTCTTTATGTGTTAACAGTTGAGTATAGATTTTTAGTTACTGATACGTATTGCAAGTCTCAGTAAAAGTTAAGGGAACAACTTGATGTTTAAGTAATACAGGAGTGAGATAAAATAATGTGAAATGAAAACTAACCATGCTTCTTGCAATTGATTTCTAAAGCTCCTAACCTCTTCAGTAGCTTTTCTCAATGCCGACCTCTCGCGATCTTCTCGAACACTTGCATCCTTCTGTGTTCTCTCTAGTGTGGTCTGTAATTCAGTAATCTGTTAAGAATAAAAAAACGATTATCTCAGTTAGGGTGAGATCAAAAACTAGGGAACCTTGGATAGGTTTTTTGTTTTAATATAGTATTCCGTGTTAACCAGGTGTACTATTGGGAATGTATTTACTGTTCGCTTTTGTGGTACAGCATAAATATATAAATCAGAATTTTAATTATTGGAAAAATTAGTTTTCAAATACATCAGTAATTTATGGAAAGCTAATTATCGAAAGAATACTGAGAGCAGCTAAATCTTCATAATTTACACATCGTATAACGGTATCAGATGGAAAGGAATATCATGTCTGTACCGCATCATGTTTCATATTATTTTGTTCAGATATTCAGTTAAAAATTGTTTTTGTTCAAAGTAGGCTAAATAAATACAATGAAAAATTCCACGATCAATTATATGCACGTTCATAGAATAACGTACAGTTTCTTGTAAAGCATTAACTTTCTCTTGAAGGCCGACTTTTTCTTCCGTTGCTCTGGATAGTTCACGTTGACGTTCTCGTTCTGCAAGTAAACGAGCTTCATCTCTTTCCCTTATAATAAATGAGGAAATGTTTAAGATAGGTTAATTCAAAGTTATAAAAAAATTGACTACAGACGACTTCATCAAAAAATGAAGTTATTAACTAAACATATGTTTTACTTCATCAGATTCGATTGTATTCTAAAGCATTGCAATATTTAAATAACATGACTATTCTTACATTACTGATTTTCAGATATTAGAAAAAATAAACTTATAGTACTGTACAGCATACTAATTGAAATCTCGATATCTTAAACATTGTTGGTCGATTTATGTAGTGACAAGGTCAATAGTAAGAAGGTAGGTCTGTTACACACCAATTGTTTCCTATTTGTTCGACCTATTGCTTTAAATTTTTGTGTACTTAACTTTTAATTATACTGTTTGTGAAAGATCTAATTATACTGTAAGGTTGTGAAAGCGTAGTTGGCCTAAGCAAGCTTTTTACCTGAGACCCACTGACTGAAGTCGAAGTTTTCAAGCTACTAAGTAACAGACCCACAATTTTTATACATTTAAGTCCATTAAGTATGTACTATGTACAATGTATTTAATCTTGGATGACTAGATGCAATCGGTAAAATGCTCTACATTTAGATAATGCGTTTACTGGAACTTGGTACTAAATTTCTTAGCTGAAAGATTACCTTGTTTGAAGAATCATGTGCTATTTGAAGATCCTAAATACATATACTAGTACGAACTGACATGAACGAACCTTAGTTACATAGGGCTTGGAGTTGGTTAGGATCATCCACAATTTTCCACATGAAATGACATAAGCGAGGATATATCATGCATGTGGACAACTGTGGACACATAATCAACTGGAAAAATGTTGAGATCTTGGATAGAAGCAATTATAAGAACACCAGAGAATTTTTAGAAGCTTGGCGCTCAGGTCAATCAGCAATCAACAAATACATTGAAATTGATCCAATTTACCAACCAATCAAAAAAATTATGGACAAATGTAGGACGAAAAATCAAATCAATGGGAGATACAACCAAAATAAAGAAGTAAACAATGACAGGTTAAAGATCAACAATAACCAATCGAAATCGAGGTCTGCAGGACAAGCTATGAGCTATATGTGGAGAAATTTGAACACTTAACTTCTACCTGGCATTTGTATTGATGATGTCGCTCAGAATAACGATGAAAGCTCCATGAACAAACCATCCAGCTCAGAGAACAAAATTCCACCAAAATCAGCTGAAAAAGGATTGTTGATTGTGTATTGTACATAAGTAGAATAGATCATAGGAACATATCTAATTAAAGTCGATTCCAAAAAACAATACTTCGTTATATCTATAATGTATGATGAGTAAATCAACTATTTATCAAGAGGAGAACAATATTTCTCCCTTTCCTCGTAAAGTCATTTTATGAGAACCAATCTCATATAGTCAGTCAGTCGCAACGTAGAACCTGGTACACATGTAAATCAGTTCAAGTTGTCATACCCCGTAAGCACAGAGAGGTGAAATCAGCAGGTCAAATCCTAGAATAATGGAGGTAGTAATAATATCAGTGGTATTAGAAAAACTAGGGAAAATCATACAATTCGGGAAGAAAATATAAATTAGTGAAATAAAAACAAAAGACGTTATGAGAAATTTAGAAGCTCAAAATTTGGGGGAAGACAAAGAATGAATGCATCTGCCCCATTGCAAACGATTTTCAGTCGTGTCAGTTAATCTTCAACCATTGGTTACGCTAACCACACAGACCCTAACCAGGTAGTCTGCACTTACTTCATAGACCAATGCTATGAACCTCGTATAACATGCTTATCACCACAATATAACAATGCTTACCTTTGAGCAGTTAGTAATTCTTTAGTAAGTCTATTCATTTCTTCAGCAGAACTACGTAATTCATATTCTCTATTAACTAATTGTTCCACATCCACATGCTGTTGTTTATCAATAAGATTGACAGCTTGATCTGCTCTTTCCACAGCTTGTAAACATGCCTTTTCAGCTTCTTCAGCACGTTTTTCAGCATTTATTAATGCTATACGTAAATCTTCTAATTCATTTGTCAGTTGATCACCTACTTTTTTACTATTACGTTCAGATTTTTCTAGTTCAATTTGAAAATTACTATGAGCACGACATAGTTCAGCTAAAATAAAAACACAGTTTATTTCGATAAATAATTAGTATACCAATCATTTATCTTTAAAAGAATTCAGGCAGTCAATGAAAGGTAGAAACATTAGTACAATCTATTCAAATAAATAAGATCAAACTAACAAAAAAGAAGGTTTACTCAATCACTAAATGTTAAGCAATAAGAAATTCAAATTGGGTTGAACTATATGTTATACATATTCTTATAGTCAGTCAGTCAGTAACAACGTAGAACTTCGTACGTGCGTACATCAGTTTGAGCCGTCATACCACATTAGCACAGAGATGCAGTTGTCGATTCAAATCCCGTAATGGTAAAGTAGTAAGAGTATAAGCAGTATTAACAATCTAAGATCATAATAGACATTCATTTAATCTACCTATTCGAAAAAATTACTTCATAAGATAGAAACTAATGATAACTTATTAACTAACCAACATTTCATTTATGTGAAGCTTTTTCTCTTTCAATTAGATAAAATTTAGCAATTATTTAGGCTTATAGTGAGCATAGATTAAATCGATTAATGATCTACATATAATAGACTATGAACCTAAAAAAAGACGATGGTTATTTTTATGGATCCTGTAATGTTTTATTCATTAAAATACGACTCCAGCACAACCTATCACAGCATCTTAATCAAGTCATCTAGACCGGACTAGGTTGCAATCTGTGATCGAAACAAAGATTTTTATGTAAGGTCTTTGAAAAATAAACATTGATTAGTATCAAATAAGATTCCTTACAATAGTATTCAATTACTTTAACATAAATTTTACACAAAATTATAAAATAGAAAATATATAATTTTTAAAAGATATAAACGTTCGAATACCTTGTAATTCATCTCGACGATTTTTTAAATCTGATACATCTCTTTCTAATTGAGATTGTTTATAATATAATTGTTCAATTGTTTGTTGCATATCAAATAAACTAGATTCTAAGTTTTCTTTCTCTGATTTCAATGTATTAATTATTTCTGTAAGATGTCGATTATCTCGTTCAATAATTGATAACTTGGAATTAATGAAGATTAGAAATGCAAAACAGTCAAGAAATATAATAACAATTAAATAAGTGTAACAAGTGAATAAGAAAAAAAAAAGCAACTGGTTTTTTGAAAAGTTAGTAACAAATAGGTGAGAAATATTTTTATGTAATTGAGCAAGAGGTTCTCCTATTTCAAAATCAATATAAATTTATTATAAGCAGAGATGAATGGTGGCTAGCAGTGGAATCTGGGACACGAGTTTTGTCCTACTTGTGACGTGTCAACTGGATATACCTGCATCTCAGATTTGATGTTCAATCTGGAACTGCCATCGTGTTATCTACTTAGCTACTGAGTTCAAATAGCCACTAGTTTGTACAATGCTGTGAAGTTTTAATTCACGTTTGTATTGTTTATTTAGATTATCCCATTTATGTTTAGGTCTGCAATTGATTATGATATGAAACTGATCAATTACAGTCTTAAACACTAATGGGAAGACGAAAATGAATCAATGTGAATTTAGTTACATTAGGTCTTTATAGGTTTTTATTTGTTCATTTCTTTACAACTAAGCTAATGTCAATACTATTAATACTAGTTATTTAAATATATGATCAGAAAAATATCTTGAGGCTTTAACATAGAATTGTAAGTGATAAGGACAGATTAACTTGATTTATAGGAATATTTTGGATTTATATGATAGATGTTTGAATTGTCCAATAATTTTGACAATATTTCCTTCATTATTTACCTATGTAATGTCTGAATATGAAAATTTATATTGAGATCATGAACTGATTAATGTTAGACCACCATTGAAAACCTGGAATCATTGGAGGGGCGTTTTGTCCTATTGTGGGACACCACAGCAGTGCGCATCCACGATCCACTCCATACTGATGAAAATTAATAATTTTATATTTTGATCAAAGAAACTTTAATGAAACTTATAAAGTTAAAATTGAGCAGAAAAACTCATTGAAATTTGAAATATTCCGAATGTACAATATTTAACCATGATAGTAAACACTTTCTTACACTACAACAGATATTATGTATTCATATGATATTTTATAAATGTGTTGATATGTAAAAGATTCGGCATAAACATTTTTTAAAATATATTGGTTAAAATTTGTATGTATTAGTGTAGTGAACGAAAACACAAGTGGGGAGAACCAAATCTTAGTAAAATCTGAAAACTATACAGTGAATACTTCATTTGGAAAATATCAGTTAATCGTCTAAGACTATTGTTTCTTCATTTCCACACCAATCATTCTCTGTTCTCATTTTCTTTTCTTCGATATTCTTAACCTTCTGCCTCCAGGTATTTGACTTTCGATTGATGCTACATACTACTAATATCTGTCGATATCAGTAGCACACACCACATTATTACTGTACTAAAATAAAAATTATTTTCGCTTATTTGTACTGCATTACAATAATACTCCCAAGTAACAATCTTTTATACATCATGTGAATCGCTGTTATTTTTGTCTATTATGTTGTTATTTGCTGGTGCAGAATATCAAAATAATCGTATGTTCGTCATTAAGTGAACTTTTTCACTTGGAAAAAAATGGTCAGATGTATGAAGAAACATTATTTATTAAAACGGTATGATATAATAAGCATTTGGTCAAACATTTTACAGTTTAACTTTCAATTAGGTCCGTTCCGCTGATAGTAATTTTCAGTCATTAAAATGTAGATAAAAAATGATATCAGTCTACTTATATTTGATATTTTGTACTGTAACAACTCATTCAAGTTAGTTTACTCAATTTCTAGATATGTATGCACTAACATATCTCTGCTTAATGGAAGCTAATCGATATTTGATAAATAGTGCATGGTAATTTATGACAATTTTGATAATTGGAATCGTTATTATTTACCTTATATTTAAATTTCGGTGTTTCAGTATATTAATATGGTTTAAACAATTTAGTTCTTTATATTAGTTCGACGAAAGTACACTGTTCATGAGATGGAGCAAATATAACAGCAGCCGTATCGTGATAAAATTCCCTCATGTTTAACGCACTAGTACTGATTATTGATGTATAAATATTTTTCGAATACTTATGACATCGCCATTTTTGAGATTTTTATCTGCTATCAAAAGATTCAGTCAAATTCCCTAAATGGTTTCTTTGATTTGCGCCAATATTATCTCGAGTCGTTAATCTTGATATTTACTTTAAATATAATTGGAAGCAACATAGGGTGATGAACACAGTAATAAACGTAATGTCAGGTAGTTCAAACTGTTCTTTCATTACGAAAATAATAACACACCTTTTCAAGGACTTTCAAAAAAGTTCTTCGATTGTACGAAATAAAAATTTTAATCTCAGTTATTCAAATCTGTTCTACTAGTGGTTAGAAAAAACAATGTTTACATCTATGTCAAGTTTCAATTTTCAAATAGCATCAAAAGTTTGCCTATTAAAGTATATGATATTCGATAGTCACTTATCTCACCTGAAGAAGTAATTCTGCTTTATGTCTTGATATAGCTTCTTTTTCGTTTGTTAGTCTCATGATTAAGGCTTCCTGACGTTCAGAATCTCTTCGGAATGTTGATACATCTTCCATTAAAGATGCCTTTTGTCTCTGAGCCTCAGATAATGATTCTGTAAGTGTCATCCTTTCTCGAGCCAAGTCACCCAATTCAGCTTCTAGTCGTGATCTAGCTGTCTCGGCGCGCATTGTAGATTCTCGTGCTTGTTCTAATTCAGATTGTGTTAAGGATTTTTCAGAATATAACTTTTCTATTTCATCTCTTTGTTCTTGTAATTCTACCCGAAGATTGGCTCTTTCTTCGGCTAAACGAGATTCTTTAGCATGTGTTAAAGAGATTTGATGGGTTAATTGCTCAGCATCATGCTCTTGTGACTCAAGGACTGTTTCTAGTCTAGCTATTCTTGATTTATATTGGTTTTCTCTATTATGCGCCTTGAATAAATAATATATATATATATATATATATATATATATATATATAGAAACAAAGTATGTATTATAAATTAATGTTTAATATAAGCTTGGAACTTATATGTAATTAAGAATCAAGTATTGTTCATGCAAACGTTGTAAAGTTATAATATCAATGAAACCGATCCCATCTTCGTCAAAGATTAAAAACTATTGTATTCTTAGAAGAAAATTTAGATTCACTGGTTTCGAATATGATTGATGAAATAAACATAATCTAACAAATACAAATAAGATCTTATATGAGATTTTTAATCACATCCAGTTGTTTATGTTAAATGAGTCAATATGTTGCAGCAAACACTATCAAAATCTAATAATCAAAAGTCAAATCAATTTGACAGTGCTATCAGAATGTGTTCTTTATCACTTTGAAATTACTCAACTGCGAAAGTATTAACAAACCATTTTTTCAAATGATAAATTAATCATAACCAATGGTTTATCATTTGTTTTAGTCATCATGAAATTCGTTTACATTAATGATCCATTTTTTCACAGTGACTAAAATGAATAATCTGATAATATATTCTTTTCTTTTAAATAGTTGAGATCATGAGTCAATTGAAGCTGCTGAAGAGTCCTCTTCTGATTTTAATATAATCTTTGTTGACAAAAGTGCTTTGAGTTTTATTCGTTCACACTATTTCCGTAATTTAATTATTTACTGTTCTACATAAAAACTGAAGGTTTATTACTTATATGGTCGATCGAATGCTGAAGATTTTCAAATCGCCCCCTGAATGCCCTGGTACGGCCGAGAGTGGGGAGAGTCCGTTCTCCCTCTCGAAATACTCTCACATGGCCACGCGTATACAGCCTCTGCTAGGGAAGTCCTACTCATTGCCTTCTCGTGGCGGGGGTGTTGTTTACGAAAATTAGAGGACGAAAAGCGAATGTCCGGCGCTTTAACCGGATTTCAAATCAATGGTGCACATGGGCTCCAGTATCCTGCGGGAACAAATGGCGTATGAACCAATCGTTGGTCACCGGCTACCATGGGACTGCATCTCCTTACGATGCTCCACTGCCTTGTGGGTTAGACCTTTAGGTCAAAGGCTCGGGGAGTGGCCCCCTAAGATAACCACCTGCTTCGGTTTGGGCACCCGGGCAGTATCACAGCCCACACACAAATTGATGAACTCTTTATGCCTATGGAAATCACCTTTCTCGCTTTGAAAAACAAACAATTGATTCAGATTATTATCATTACAATTATTGTCATTATTATTACTATTATTATTATTACTACTATTATTGTCATTATTATTATTATTATTATTATTATTATATTATTATTTTCCACATTATTCACCCTTTTTTATACTTATACAGCGGCTCGTCTTTGGTGGAAATTCGACTGTATCTAAACGTTCGACGGATATTGTAGTACTAGCCGGAGACTTGAATGCTCAGGTCGGGCGTCTAGGCACAGAAGAGAGTCGTTTAGGTGGCCGATGGGGACTCGTTGGTCGCAGGTCAGATAACGGGGACCGTCTACTGCAACTTTGCACAGACCACAACCTGTTTCTGGCTAGCACTAACTTTCGGCACAGTCATCGCCGATGTGCCACCTGGCGTCCTCCCTCTGCATCTCAAGCCTGGACTCAGATTGATCACATCGCGATCAGCTACCGCTGGCGTGGTTGTGTACAAGACTGCCGCTCCTTTTGGAGTACCTATCTGGACTCTGACCATGCCTTGGTCTGCGCCAATCTTGCCTTACTTTTCAGTGGACAACGAAGTGACCCCACCAACGGATTGATGTTAGCAAGCTGGTTGCAACTTCTGTTGCAAGTAAGTATCGAACCGAGCTAGCCTCTAGGCTAGCTACCACTCCACCGAAAAGTATAGATGAGCATTGGTTGCAATTGCATGACGCCATGAAAATGGCGGGAACAGTCAGTTGTGGGTTTGCGAAACGTCCCGCTTTTAAGCACTGGGTTTCTTCTGGTTCCTTACAACTCATTGAAGCCCGTCGGTCTACTCCGGGTGACCGTGAGTTTGACCATAAACGAAGGATGTTACGTAAGGAAATTGGGCAAAGCTTGCGTAAGGACCGAGAAGCCTGGTGGTCGATGCGTGCTAATGAGCTGGAAGCAGCAGCTGCATCTGGTAACTACCGGAAGCTCTTCCAGCTCATCCGAGCCACTGGCAGCAAGAAGTCTGGTGTGAGTGAAACAATCTGCGAGGATGATGGGATGCCAATCACTAACATCCATCGACGTCTTGGACGATGGGCAGAATTTTTCGAAGGGCAGTTCAACTGGCCTGCTGCTCCGGCAACATCGGTCAGACTGTCCTGCCCTCCATGGCCGGTGACGACTGATCCACCAAATGAGGAGGAAGTCCGCAAGGAACTCCAACTCTTGAAGCGTTACAAATCACCTGGCCCAGATGACTTACCTCCGGCTCTTTTTAAAGATGGTGGTGACTTTTTGACTAAGGAATTGACGACGTTGTTTACAAAGGTTTGGGAACTAGAGAGTGTACCAACGTCATGGAATGAGTCGATAGTTGTCCCTATCTTTAAAAAGGGTTCACGTCGTTCCTGTAACAACTATCGGGGGATAAGTTACTTCCGATTGCGTCCAAGCTATTGGCTTCCGTCATTCTTCGTAGGTTGTTCAAAACCCGAGAAAGATTGACTCGCGAGGAGCAGGCTGGGTTTCGTTCTGGTCGAGGATGTATTGATCATATCTTCACCCTCCGCCAAATGTTAGAACACCGCCATACTTTTCAAAGGCCAACAATCGTAGTGTTTCTTGACATCAGGGCTGCCTTCGATTCGTTGGACAGGACTGTTCTCTGGGATTGTCTATTGAAGAAGGGTGTGCCTGAGAAGTTTATTAACATCCTAAAAGCCCTATATAAAAACACCTCAGGCAGAGTGAGGGCATACAACCACCTCTCTCCATTGTTCCATTCGAGCAGTGGGGTTAGGCAGGGTTGCCCAATCTCACCATTCCTCTTCAACTTTGCCATCGATGACATTCTGGAAACAGCTCTGATGAATGTAAGTAATGGTGGTGTGGATCTGTTGCCTGGAGAAAGACTTCTCGACCTTGAGTATGCGGACGATATTGTCTTACTGTGCGATAATGCCCAAGGCATGCAATCCGCACTTAATCAGTTGGCAATCAGTGTCCGTAGGTATGGTATGTGCTTTGCACCTTCGAAGTGCAAAGTACTTCTACAAGACTGGCAGGATTCTAATCCTGTACTCACCCTGGATGGTGAGCAGATAGACGTAGTTGAGAAGTTCGTGTATCTGGGTAGCTGCATAAGTGCTGGTGGGGGTGTGAGTGATGAGATCAATGCACGAATAGTGAAAGCCAGAGCGGCTTATGCCAATCTGGGCCACCTTTGGCGCCTTCGTGATGTTAGTCTGGCTGTAAAAGGTCGGATCTACAACGCGTCGGTGAGAGCAGTTTTGCTCTATGCTTGTGAAACCTGGCCTCTCCGAGTTGAGGACGTTAGACGACTCTCTGTGTTCGATCATCGCTGTCTCCGAAGGATTGCTGACATTCAGTGGCAACACCATGTCAGTAATGCAGAGGTTCGGCATCGTGTGTTCGGGCACAGAGATGATAATTCAATTGGTGTCACCATCTTGAAACACCGACTTCGGTGGCTTGGACATGTTCTCCGAATGTCGTCCCAGAGAATTCCACGTCGTGCATTATTTGCCGACTCTGGGACTGGTTGGAAGAAGCGGAGAGGTGGTCAGTGCATGACATGGTGTCGTGGCATGAAAGAAAGCTGCAAAGGACTGGCTTGTGTTGGTCCTTCACGACTCCCTGGTTGGGGTCCGAGAGATGGTGCTACACAGTGGCTAGAGACGTTATCAGATATGGCTCAGAATAGAAGCCAGTGGCGATCCTGCTGTAACCTTCTTTTACTTTCTTCCTAAAAAGTGGTTGTGTCTCCTTTACCTGAAAGATTTCTTCTGATTGTACCTTTTCGTTCCGTCGTTACTACCACACTACCTTACTCCAATCTCTTCGTCATTGTTCTCTTTTTCTTTTGCGCTCCTTAGTTTTTTTTTCTATTTCTCTTCGAATTCTCATTGTTTTGTGTGGCGCATATATATTGGCGCTCTCTTGTACCAATATTCATGTGTTCAAATAAATAATAAATAAATAAATTTTCAAATCATTAGAAAAAAGACTCTGAGCATTACATTCTGATTCACAGGAATTTTTTCAACGAATATCAACTCATGAAATGAAAAAAAAACCTTCGCAGTATAATATGATGGTTGGAGTTAGTCAACAAGAAACCCTGGACCCGGGATTCGTGTTATTTGGCACTCGTCAGCAAGGTGTACCTGTAATCTTCAGGGAACTGGTACTCCCTGACGGATTCAATGCCGTGTCACCCAGCTTCACAGTCGGAGACATTACCACTAGGCTATCCGGGCCGCGACTGACCTCCTGTAGGACTGAGATGCATTTACGATTGATTGATCAATGGGTGGTGATCGAATGCTATCGACCAAGTTGCACTAAGAAAGACCTAACACACATGACATTGATAACCACCCAATGATCAATCAATTTCGAAACTTCACAGTGATTAGACAGGGAAAGTACTGATTAGAAAGTTATTTTATAATTATTTTACAAATTAAAGACCATTTATGTATGATCAAGTTAAATAACTTTTAATAAAGAAATAATTAAGTTTATTTGGTTACTTGGTTGAGGTCTTCATTTAATTCGTCAATTTTAGCTTGAATTTTACCAGCCGCTGTAATTGCGTCATTTTTCTCCTGGTCTAATATTTCTTTTTCTAATTCAACACGTCTTAACTGTTCACGAATTGTAGCCAATTCTTCTCGAAGTTTACAGCACGTTGTTCTGTACTACCTAATGTTTTTTGTATAGCATCTAATTCACGAAGCTTGATTACGATTAAAAATTAAATACGAAACATTGATTAAAACAACCGTGATATTCTGTAGGAGTATTGATAAATAAAATTTATTAAGAACACAATCTATCAAACCAATAATAACAAGTAGTAGAATTACTAAAAAAAACGTTTTTCCTATTGCAAATAAAGGGAAGTGGCTGGAGTTTTTCATATATTATCAAACTCTATCGCACTCAGGTGTAAGGTTATCCATCCTTTTCTTAACATTCAACAAAAGTGCAATATCTCGTATTACCAAGTATTTTTCCCTTTTATTTAGTGGGTAAGTGCTGCATATTGAAATGTGATTTTCACTGAGAGTTCCATTTTAAACATCCAAATCTGTCTACATCTATCCTCTATGAATACGCCGAATAAAATAAACAAATACGGGGAAAGTTAGAGCTTGAAAAGAAGTCCACTGTGAAAAGAGTGCCCTTATATGCAGCGATTACTCACTAAATGAATGGGAAAATGACCAAGAATTCTTGATACTTCAGATGCAATGAACATTATAAAACAGATGCGTTATAAATTCATGTTCATGTATCCTATTTCCTGCTCAGTAGAAAATGGAGCCCTAACTATTTATCTAAAAATATTCACAAACTTAACTCTGTTCACATCTTGCATCATTAACAAACATACAAATATTTTAACTATGCTCTTCTATATTACAGATATTAAATTTCCCTAAATCGCATATACGGAAATACATACAAGTCTCTACAGAACCGTCTTGACCTAAATGACATGATATTATTATGATCAGATCTTTTGATAGTACCAAAAATATTCTACATTATTTCCTTCTTACTATTTAATTTTGTATTAATTTAATTTGGTGATTTATTTTCTGAAGAAGGAACTTATACTAAGTTGCGAAACACCAGAAATTCAGTTTTCTATTAATTGAGATTTTACAAAAATATCATTAATTCTGTTATTTGTCATAAGTTTTATGTTTTATTTGAAATTAATCCTTAAATCGTTTCGATAATGGTTATGTATCATCTATTCATGAAGAATAAACACATCACTGATAATTGCATAACAATAAACTTTTAGTAAGTGAATATTTTGTTAAAAGTAAGCGACTGAGTGTTTGCTAAGTTGATTGAATTGAGTTCAGTGATTCTGTCAACATGGTTTAAATACTGCACATCTATCTGGTATTCGAATTACTTACATAATACAGCATTTGGAAGGATATTCAAACAAATTTATTGTTGTTGAATTACCTTAGTAATTGTACAGATGGTTAATTTTTACTTTAAAACATGTTTGTTTGGAGCTGTTATTATTAAACTTGATGAACTGCCCCTACTTCATTTAAAGTTGCAGAGATAGGACAGGATAGACGATTTCAGACTGAACATTGAAAGGGAACTCGTTTAATTAAATAGTTGGTGACTACATATTGTCGATAAACTAATAGTTAAACTATAATGGTTTGGTTAAAGATATCACTCATAAATATTATGTGGGAACTTGAAATCGACGACTTGAATGCCTCCTCATAGATTGTGTTGAATAAACAAAATCCATCGTATATTACATGCTTGAAGTTGGTTGATGCGAATTGGAAAGTTTGAAAAACTCATCATTCAAAAAATTTATATATATGATGAGATTTGTCAATGATTGATGGTGATGGCAACACTTATATCGAAGGCCATCATTATCACTGAACATTAATCCTAATTTCTTAAGTTATTGATTTATGTAGATGTTTGACAGCTCAGTGGATAACGCGTTGGGAGCTTGAAGCGAAAGTGACTGGGTTCAAATCTCAGCGTGAACATCAACATACCAAGATATCCATCCAACGAGTCTCAAACAGAACAAAATGCTCGTTCTGTATTGCACTGCTAGCCATTATCAATATATTCTAAATTATCTAAACTAAATTTCCATTACAATTTTGGGAAGGAAAATACACCTAATCAAGCAACTATACATTGATTCAAACTGATAACCAAAATCCATCTGTTCTAAATAACTCGTGACATAGTGCGGTTATCGAGGCAATCGACATAAGATGTACGTGTATCAACAAAGACTAATCGAAACTCAGTTACCGAACAACCGAAACCCTTCCTAATAATGATGTAATTTTGATGCATTTTATTACTCCTTCTTGACTTAAGAAAATCTGACATTTTTTAAAAAGTAATACAGTGAATATCTAGTCTCTTGTATCAGTCCATTGCACTGATTGCTTTCCATTTATTTAGTAGAAAAATCTACAAACAGCTTCTTATTCCAGTGTTTATATGTGAATATTACAGTGTACTTGATAAAGATATTTGAAATATTTCCTTAATTCTTTTCCGAAACTATAATTTGAAATAAGTGCAAGAAAACTGTTTTAAAAAGGAATTAACAAACTTACTGTACGACCTTGTTCAGTTTGTAAATTATCACGTTCTGAGTTGCTTCATCGCGTTGTTTTCGCATATCATGCAAAGATGTTTTAAGGCGATCTAATTCACTTTCAATCTCCCGTACATGTTCATTTAGATTTTGTCTTGCTGATTCACTCATTTCATGCTCCTCTTTGGTTAAACTAAAGGAAAGAAATCCTAAATGTCATGTTCAAAATCCAATTTACTAAAAATACATTTTCAAAATTGAAATAGTTCGCAACATTGATAATAGTTTGATTTGTTTCTATATAAATATACATTGACCTATTCTAATATTTAAAAAGATATGTGTTCTAGAGGGGTATATTTTATTGAGATCATGAACCGATTGATGTTAGACCACCATAGAAAATCTGGAATCCGTCCATGATCCCAATCAAAAACTTAAGAATCTCCACAACCCCATACTGATAATTGCCACGTGTTCACTAGTGTCTAGCTTCCTTAGGAAATTCTCAAATATCTAGTGAGACACCGTGACCAGTGGAGCTAATCCATGTCAGGTAGAGACAGGTATCTACCTCTGTAAAATAGAAAATGGTCGTGCAATATCGTGGGTTGGTTGAGGTTAGACATTAATACCGTTGGACGCCGGCTCAGTGGTCTAGAGCTTAAGCGTTCGCGCGTTAGGCCGAATTCCCTGGGTTCGATTCCTGCGAGTGGAATCGTGGATGCGAACTGCTGAGGAGTTCTACAATAGGACGAGACGGCCGTACAGTGCTTCCAGGTTTTCAATAGTGGTCTAACATTAATCGGTTCATGATCTCGATCAAAAACTTAATAATCTCCACAATCCTATACTGATAGTATATTTCAGCAGAAAAAATTTTATAATCCTATATAATTTATTGAATTCCAGAATCAAAGATATGGAAAATTATTATATGAAGTTTAAAAAAATCAAGTAACACCGAATGTCATTATACAATAGGTTATTTTAAAAGTAGATAAGTAGTAGTGTACACAGTCTATTTCACATAGAATTATAGACACAGAGGATGAGTATTTTGTAGAACCATGTTGATAATTAAGAACAATGAAATAAACAGCGTTTAAATGTGATGCAGATTTTTTTCTGTCGGTGTTTAACAACTCTCTTATTGAATTCATATTTCGGGGACTTGTTTCATCTAAACCATACAATAACAAATGATTTATTGTTATGAAAAAGGCAACTTTCATTTAAGATGTTGAATGTTAAATGAATTAACAGAAATTTACATTAATTACATTGAATTATTATTGAATTTCTAGTATCTATTTGACAAATCTGTTACATTGACAGATATTTCGTTACTAATCTTATCAAAATACTCTATAAATCATGCTATAACACAAGTAACTGTGATTTACAACAGCAAAAGTAACTATATGTTCACTAATGACTGAATAAAGTAAGGAATTCCCCGAAGTTCTAGTATAAAATTGTAAAGTCAGTCATATGACGACTGGAGCGACAATTCACCCTTGTGATTGGATGATCAGCATGCTATATCGAAATTGGAGCAAATTTGGAACATGGGTAATTGAATGATATCTAGAAAGTTCAACGGTATCTTAGTAACTTTGACGTAAGAACGTCCCGAGTTAGATACCACGTGTGGTTGTATGTCTGCAGAATGATGAAAACTTCAAAGTAGAGTAATGCCACTGATTAGTTGTACTTGGTTTCCAATAGCTCCTGAGGTGACAATATCTCATGATGAAAATTACTTTCAAATTCATTATGAGTATTGTTTAAGGTATACATTATTACTAGTATTTGTAGTATAGATAGGGAAGGAAAGAAAACTTGGTTAATTATCATGTTACCTTAAACTTTGTTTAATTCTATCTCTTTCTCTAGATAATTTATCCACTTCCAAACTTTGTACTTCTAATTCTTCTCTTAACCGTGCCAACTGTTCAGACAGACGTTTTCTCTCCACATCTGACTCTTCGCCGCGACGTGTAAGATTATTTAATTGCTCTTTCAGTCCAGAACTTCGAAGTCTAAGACGATGAACCTATAAAAGTGGGTTCAAGAAGTAAAAGATGAAATAAATGTCATCAGAAAATTGTTGCATATCATCCAAATAAGTTATCCATTCAACCACTACTTAATTGTTCTGGAACTCAGTGTATATGAGCATGTCCTTTACGTAGATTTACTATAAATACAATGTGCAAATTCGTTGCTTTAGCTGTACAGAATATGGAAAAAAGTATGTGGTGAACTGTGCACTCGCTAACTAAAGAGCATGGATAAAATTCTCAGAGTTATTCCAATTTTCATGTATCAGTTCCCGAATAAGAAGGTAACTAGTCATTTACACAGTACTATTTACAGTCACAATAATGGTGAGGCGAGTGATGGTAGTTAAATTAATTATGAAATTACGTTCATAATCCTAAGACATTTACTACTAAATTCATATTTCAAAAACTCTTTGAAATCGTAAGCGAGTCCTATTTACCACAGTGTATGTATATAAATCTTTAGGTAATGCAAGATCTGTCAAGCTTTTCTGTGTTACCAAGTACAATTAACACTTCCGTAACTCTTCACTCTTCTGCCTTTAGTCGTTTTTGTTATTTCACTGTCAGTGATTTTTCAGTATTGGTTTCAGAGATGTATTTCTAGACTAACTATAAACAAAATCAGATTCTGACAAGTAGCTAAATAAAAAGATGATAACTAGAAGGCCTGAATACAACACATTTGACTTCATCAAACATATAGAGTATACTCTGCCTAGAATTTTAATACACATTCGTTGCCCAAAAGGATTCAGCTGCGTTTTAAACTCATGGGAGTGTTTTTAAATTCTCTTGTAGTTTTGTTTGATTTGTTAGAGAATATTGTTCCAACCTACATAGTGTTTCATCAATTATTTACGTCAAATTTCCTCAACTGGATTTTAATTAGAGCGTTAGAACTTTAACATTACTGACTACTAGGAGCTATTGAAATATTTGATGGGTATTTAAGAAACCATATAAAAATGCGGTTTACTTAGAGTTTTAAAGGTAATTACATTCGATCCCAATGATTGCTGTGGTAAGCGATTTTAAGAACAGATGTTATGCGAATGTAATGATTAGTGAGAGTTTTGCAAATGTTAAATTATAATAAACCAGTTGTTACTATTCTCATATGGTTTGAGTTATTATCTAAAACTTTCCACTTACTTATATTATGTAAAGTAGTAAAAGTCGTATTATAGAAATGTTGAAAATTTCTAACATGGTTTACATGCTTGGAATTTTGGTTTACAGACTTGACATAAACATTTAAATGCAGGCTTTCAGATTATTAAACAGGCACATAGCATATATAGTTAGATTTAAAATTTATGGTGTCTCAATATGTTTTCAGCCCTAAACTCTGATCCATGAAATAAATGGATTATGAAGCAGAGGAGACGAACTCAGAACATCACGATGAGAATAATTTCTTCAAGAAACAAATTTATCCTGAGTTCATGCTTAAACGATTAATTTTAAATCTTATGGTAGGTAATGGATTAATAACTAATCAAGATATAAAAATAAAATGTAGGACACTTATTGTTATGACTTGTGAACCCGCGTGCCCTGTATATTGGATAATGCAACGACACCGCCTATTAGAGAGCAGCGAATTATCGATCGGACCAAAAACGCGTAAAACACGTGAGAACAACCGAGAGTCCTGATTGGTCCTGCTTTCCTGTCTAGCCCAGCCAGTTTAGCCCAGAACGCAAGTCTCAGCCTCTGAGATATGAATAATTTATTTCAAACATATGGGGTTTATATACCAATCAAACAGACCACACTGTACCATAAAATAGAAAATAACATTTGTACAATATTTAGCCAACAGGAAAACGACACGTGAAATAAATATCGCCCAATAGGAAAATGATATCATCTCAGGTCCAAGGATAGCATTAGACTTAACAGAATAATTTTGGGATATTTTTCTGAATATCCCAACACTTCTTGATAATAGGAAGATTAGATGTTGATTAGCATTATAAATAAAAAAAGAATTTATCACACTATCAGTGCCTTAATATTTCGACTATTCGTATCTTCTAATTTAGGTCAGTCTGTGTCGACAGAATTAATTAAGATGCTTCGAGTTGCACTAAAAACTGGCATTCAGATTTAACTCGTTCTTTTTTTTATAAGCTGGATGGTAAGACACATTAATGAGAAAGGAGAATAAAGAAGGAAACTGAATCACAGTGTACAAATTCAAGTTTTAACTTGCACTAGCAAAAAGGATAGAGAGAAAAAATCAAATAATTGAATTTGTTGTTGAGATGAGGATAAACTATGGGATGAAGGGAGGCAGAATGAAAAATTACTGAGTAGTCAAAATGCTTACAATTTAAAGATGTAAACATATGAACATTTCAGTCACAGCAAATCGCCCTCATATAACAATCGATTCCAAGTATCATTAGTATGCCATTTTGGTAACCTACATTGATTCACAAAGCCCAAGTTAACAGTCAGAAACTGATTATGTAGTTTTGATTGTCTTTTTGGTCATCTCTAACTTTCGATTCATCTATTATTACTTTTGACAGAGTGAAAAATAAAGGCAAATGTTAAATTCGCATCCTTAAAACATACACAAGTTACCATTCACATCAATTTTGAGTACGATATAGTTACTAGATCAATCAACGAAAAGCCAAACGCTGCACCAGCCTGGACGTAATATTTAACTAAACTGCTTAGTTTATGTAGAACACAATATTTATTAGCACAATCAAGAATCACCAGGTACTATTTTCTCCTATTAAAATCAACTATGTTTATACACTTATGTGTATTTGAAATCGTATATACGTCAATAGAATAGAACCTTCAATCTGCCTTATATCTCCTGAACACATTTTACAACGCCCGTATTTCAAGGGAGTAAAAACTCCTAGTCGTATAAATTCACAACATACTAAAAACTTCAAAACACGAGGAGATATCTTGATATCCTTTCAAATCGACTAAGCAAGTGAGCACAACTTATATAAAGTTACCTATGGCTATCGCTTGCGAATACATAAAACGTCATTAATCACTCGAAAGAAAACATTTATAAGTAGTCCAAAAACTTATTGTGAGTAAGACAAAGTGTTACCCTGTTTTTATTATTTGTTAGCTTTATAAGCTTCAAGTATAAATATAATGTCTATCTTTTACTATATATATATATATATATATATATATATATATATATATATATATATATATATATATATATATATATATATATATATATATTTCAATCGTTTCTGTAAGAGTTAGATTTGATAAATAATGAAAAATTACAAATTTTAACCGGACAGATTTACTGAAGTTTACTGACAAATGTTTATATATAGCAGTTGAGCTATATTGTGTATTAAGTTTAGTTAAATTAACTGATAAATTTTAACCCTGTATATGAACATTACTGTATCCATTTCGAACTCTAAAAGCCCAGAATACTATGCAGTAATTAGTTGAATTTACATCTTAGAGCATTATATTGATACCATGTTCCCCCCTCCATGGTTTCCAAAACATGTTAACTGATAATAAAATCTATTTTAGTATCCATACTCCACTTCATTGAACAAATAAATAATTATTTGTTTAGTTTGAATGTGTTGACATATTCTGTAGTCACTAATTTTGGGAGGTAATTCAAGGAGTTCTAATGAGAAGCTGTAATTAGTGGAGTTGAACGAATTTAGGGGCGGCCAAACCAAAACATGGCATCAGTCCTTGAAGTCAGTGAGTTCTAGTCTGAGCCATGTTGGTAGATGCAGATTACTTGGTTGGGGTCCGTGTGACTATCGTGACCAACGGTTGGGGACTCTGGGTGACATGTTTCAGAATCGATTACAATGGTGTAGGTACATACACTCTGTCTTCCCTTAAACTATGAGATTAAAATTGCCTTAGATCTTTCTTTCTACGAACTAATTCTTTCTTCCTGTACTATATCCTTATTGCAATCTTTCTTTTATATATTACCACCACCACCACTGAAGTAACTACTTCTATGAATCCGGTGTTCATCTTGTTGTGCTAATGAGGTATGGCAACTTGGACCGACGCATATATGTGCCTGGTCCTACGTTGTAGCTAACTAACTGACTAGAGTTGAATAATATACAACGTCAAACTAATTTCACCAACGGCAATAAACGATGGTTGCAATATATCACGACTTGATCAAAGCTAAACACAGTCAGTCAATGGTAAGTGACTCAGTTATCAAAAGTATAATCACTCGTCACGAGATCTGAAGATTCTAAGTTCAAATCTCAACAGATTCAATGAAAAGCACTGCTGATGAATCTGATAATGGAACAAAATAACTTTAAATAGAGCAAGAACAAACATTGATGCAGAATAGTATGAATTCATATTATTTCGAGGTTTCTCGTCAGCTGCGTACAAACCAAATTGTGATAGAATTTTTTTTACATGGAGATAGTGTGAAAACAATTGACATAAATGAGTGTAAATCACTGGATTACAATAATAACTATATATATATATATATGCTAGAAACAGGTTAGAGGTCAAAAAAGGGGGGTTAATCCAGGTTGGGCGGTGTAATAATTTAGTGAAGTTCATAAATTGTGTGATAATTGTAGAGATTAATGGAATTAAATAATGATAAGATAGATTACGTAATAATAATTAAATAGGGTTTGGAAAGTTAAGATGATTTAAGAGGATCAGGTGGTGGAAATGCGTGAATAAAATTTATTTTAAGAATTAGGTAATAGGGGGGGAGTATAAAATATCTTAGAATAAATAAATGAATAAAATAACCAAAACACAAAAAAACAGAAACAAAAAGATTACCAGGGTAGTGATAAGTTTATTAAACTGTTTATTGCTTACTTTTTTTCAACAGTTGTTAAACTAAGTTTATTTCATAAGTTAACTTAATGAAATAAGTAACTAACTCGAACCAATGAAAATAAAATGAAATAGAAAAATTTCCATCAATTAGAATATGAATTATGTAAATTCTATTATGTTATTTACATGTGAACTAACCGCCAAAAATTTAATCTAAATAAGAGCTTAATTCATTTATTTATTTATTTATGCATTTCAATTTCATATCAGTAACTATATACATATAGATGACTCTTAGATCACTTTGGTTTTTAATTTGGTCATATATTAAACACTAAAATTTACTGATTTATAAAAATACTTCCTTTTTCAGTGTTTATTTGTTTGTTTTCCTTTGTATTTACTCATTTTAAATGTTTACGTTTTTCAAAAAATGAATATACTTTAAACTGTATAATTAGTGTTGTTTACTTCTGCTGAATATTTATAAATTTTTTTAAAATTAATTGTTTTGTTTAAAATAAACAACAAACAAATAGTTATCAGATTTCAATGTAGCGGTAAAAATGAATGAAACTATCAATATAACAATAAATCATTAAATTTACAATATTCTGTTTAAATACAACTTATGTATGTACCAATAGACTTCTGTATTTGTTTTTCTTAAATAATCTTTTAAATTTAGGAAATTAGAATAATAAAACATGATCTGAATTGTAAATTTTTCAGAGCATAACCATAGTAACTTCAATAAGTGACTCATAACTAGTGTTCAGTATGGAATTTTTAATTGATGATATAAAAATGACTACATTAAGATTAGAAGATAAAGTTGTATTAGGAAAGTTATTGAGACCTATTTTGATAAACGAATAGTATGAATTACATTGTGAAATTCTGATTATTGGTTATAATGGACAGGTTAAACAGTCGTTAGAATGGGATTTTGTAGATCCTAGAAGGCATATACCAATCAATTGAATGGAATTCATCACTCTACATCAACTTCATTGACTACGAAAAAGCATTTGATAACGTGGACAGAACAACACTGTGGAAGCTTCTTCGATACTACGGCGTGCCTCAGAAGATAGTCAATATCATACAGAATTCCTATGATGGATTAAACTGCAAAATTGTGCGTGGAGGACAATTGACAGACTCGTTCGAGGTAAAGACCGGTGTCAGGCAAGGTTGCTTACTCTCACCCTTTCTCTTTCTGCTGGTGATCGACTGGATCGTGAAGACGTCAACATCTGAAGGGAAACGCGGGATACAGTGGACATCTAGGATGCAGCTGGACGATCTGGACTTCGCAGATGATCTGGCCCTCCTATCGCAATCGCAACAACAAATGCAGGAGAAGACGACCAGTGTAGCAACAGCCTCAGCAGCAGTAGGTCTCAATATACACAAAGGGAAAAGCAAGATTCTCCGATACAACACAGCATGCACCAATTCAATCACACATTACGCCGGGAAATGGAGATAGACATGAGAAAAATGAACAAGAATTGCATGAAACTAGAAAAGAAGACCCAGGACAGAGTGGGTTGGAGAATGCTGGTCGGAGGCCTATGCTCCATTAGGAGTAACAGGCGTAAGTAAGTAAGTAAGTGAGTGAGAAGTCATATACAAATAGATATATTAAGATACGAAGCTAATGAATCTAAATGTCGCTTTTTAGTGTTCACAAGTGGGCCAAGTTGTTGACAGTTAAAGCGATTTCACTATTAAACTTGATTGATCTCATTAAGATGTTTATCATAACGGATTATAGTCTGTTGCATTCAACGAGGAATGTTGCGTTACCTTCGTAACTTTGGCAGTATCCAACACTTGCAATTAAATCCTTATAATGTTTGCACTATTGAAGTGAATTAGAATCTAATTACGTGCAGTCACCACGACGATTGTTACGGATTATCTACAAACTTCAAAGTATTCATTTGAAGGTCGTTTGAACCCAAGTTTATACGCAGCTGAATCTACAATAAACCATTAATTCACATCTAATCCATACAAGTTATATTAAATTTTATATTCTACCATAGTCTTGGAACCCTTTTCAATTTTACAGAACATTAGTACTAATTATTATCTTATTTCTCGCTTTCTTTATATCCGTGCAGTAGACAACTATCTTCTACATTTTTTCTACTCATTAGTAACTTATTACCTCTAAGACAAATATATAACGTATAGTCAATGTTGGATAATTTTTTATTATCTTGTTGGATGATCCAGTACCTGTGTATTTTATTTAAGATTGTTATATTGGATACTTAAAAACTCTAAAGATTAATTTTAGTAATTTAATTAAATCATACAATATTACTCTCTTTTCCCAAATAGTCTAACATATTTAAACGAATTACACATAAAATTGTACAGTTTAATTAATTGACATCATTGATAAAAACATTCACTTGGTATTGTTAGTTTGAATCTTCCTATTGATGTTTAGGACTGCATACTGTGCGTATTGCCTTTATATAGCCATAATCCACAAGCATTATATACAAAGATGGATAGTGGCTAGCAGTGGAATCCAGGACGCGCATTTCGTCCTATTCGGGACTCGTCAGCTGGATTTGCCAGCATCTCAGAGTTGATGTTCACTCTGGGACTCAGTAGCTAAGTGGATAACGTGATGGCCTTTGAAGCGAATGGTACTGAGTTCGAGTCCCAGAGTGAACATCAACTCTGAGATGCATATACACCCATCTGAGAAGTCTCAAATAGGACAAAACGTGCGTCCTGGATTCTATTGCTAACCACTATCCATCTTTGCATATTGATGAAAACAATTTCTTCCTTGAAACACTTACATTTTGCTTAAAATCAGTTTTATATAGTTTTTCATCAACTAAATAGTTCTAATATATAGTTTTCTAGTTATCTATTAAAAAATAATCTCGTTATAACTGTAATCTAACTCAAGAATTTGAGTGAATAAACCGAAGGTTTATCTAGTAAACAGGCAAAATAAATTAAAACAGGTCATGAAAGTGGGAACAAATTATGTCATTATAAGACAAGGAAAAGAAGTAGTGTATTGATTACCTATTAAAATTGATCGCTTCATTATATCAATAGCAGATGAACATATAAATAGAACAGGAAGAGTTATTTCGAACTCGGTTCGTACAGATCGTTTAGCTGTGTAAATGATCAGAATATTGAGATAAATTGTAAAATCTTTACATGGTCATAGATCAGATTTATAAGTGTCACTTCCGAAAACTACCACTATTTGTGAGTGATACTACTTTAAAAAAAAGGTACATTGTTTGATTTTTATTGATAATACTTAAAGCTACATTCGCATGAGTAATGTACAAGGATAGAGATTTTAACGTTATTGTTTGCCTCTCACCCAGTCATGATAAATAATGCTCAGAAATACGATGATTAACTTGATTCGTTGTACACACATTACAACTGGCTCCTCGAGAGTATTTAAATATAAATACTCATCTTTCTTTCGTCTAAATATTTTAGGTTGACTAGAAAACGAAGAATGTAATCTTTATGAATTGGATTTTCTCCCGACAACACTTTTAAACTCGTGTCATACTTTTAATAGGGATATTAACCTTAAATTTCTGATTCAACAGCATTGATTTTTGTTTTTTTTTAAAATTTATTTCAAGTGTTTCGTTAAAAATTCTGATGTGTTATCATTCTTTTGAATTGACCAAGAATAATTCCAGAAATCTCTTAGAACATGTCATTCGGGCAAATAACCTTAGCTCTGTGAACTAGTCATTTCAATTTAATTTCACTTATATATTGGTATAATGTGGGAAACCTGGACGGAGCTGGAAAGGATTGCCCAGGACAGGGTTGGATGGAGAATGCTGGTGAGTGGCCTATGCTCCTTCACGAGGAGTAACAGGCGTAAGTAAGTAAGTAAGTATATATTGGTATAAAAAAATTCAGTAAACTTAGTTTAGTTATTTTCTAGGTGTGTGGATATATTTAATACAAGTTTACAAGTACATGAGTTGTATAGGGTTGACAGTTTATTCATTTAAGTCAGGTCAAAACACAAAAATATTTAGTGTTTCTACTATGCAGTTTTATAATTTTGGTCATTAGTTACAGTTTAGATGATAACTTTAGAGACAACTGTCAAATTTAATTTCTATAAAACTAACAACTATTGGATATACTTCAAAAGAAATGGAAAAATATGAGTGTATATATTGGCTTACATGAGTAGCACGTCTATTTAAGGCACTTTGCACAGCATTAACTGTTGATTCAGCTAAATGTAAACTTGAACCAGCTTGATATTTTGAATGTGCAAGCCGGCGTAATGATGAAATATCTTCTGGTTTAATGTAATAAATTTTATTTCCTTGTTGATTTATATCACTTTCTTCATTTTGTACTTTACTGTTTGGTGACAAATCAGAAACTGGTTGTTTTGATTCTATTGAATATGGAATGATACGTGTAGAAGACCAGTCAGGATTTTGTAGATTGAGAATAGGTTCTTGTGCTTCATCTGTATCAGCAATCGTTGCATCCCAAATGATTAACTGAAATAATATATCAATAATTTCACTATTATTATTACATCATCATTTGTATTCAACACTTTTTGTAACTCTTTCTGCGTCTAAAGTTAAAGTTATATGAACTGGAAATTTTGCATTTAGCTATATGTCAGTTTTAGGAAATGAGAACCGAATAATTAATTTGTGTATAATGGTAAATTAATGAAACGATAATTACATATCTGGTATTTTTATTAAATAAGATCTGACATAAAGCAATATCAGCATGAGTCAAATTAGGTAGAGTAAAATTTTCATCTATTTTTCATATCAGTTTAATTTATTATATTAAAAGAAAATACTGGTAATTTTAAATTTTAACACAAGTTGGTCAGTGAATTAAATGAGATTGATTTTTTTATTTATTTATAAAGTTTATTGCTCTAAGGGGATCAAGGTAACAGTGGTAAAACTGGTAATTTAGGTAACCAGTTAAAAATGTCACCAGGTAGCGACAGTATACATCATTTATTTTTGTGAATTTAATGACTAGGAGCCTTCAATTTGTATGTTGTTATCAAAGTAACTGTTGCTTAGTTATTGTGTTGTGTATTTTTGGAGCTACACAGTAATTGGTGACTTAATGTCAGTGAGATTTTTTTTTAAAATTGACGTATATCACTCATAATGTACTCAAGGAAATATCAAAATGATATTTGATTTGGCTCAGAAGCTTGTATAGACCTAAGTTTGTGAATCTTTAAAACTAATATATCACTCTTTCTTAATGCTAACTAAGTATCGTCATCTGACTAATAAAACTGAATAGTGTTTATTCAACCCTTACTTTGAATTACAGATGTTAGAGTAAGTAGACTGTTTAGCTTTGTGAATATACTGAATACAGAAGGTTGAAAGAAAATAACAACACTTTCTAAATACCTAAATTATAAATCAATTTCTTAGCTTCAACACTTATCATCCAAGTACCATCAAACAATTTAGAAACCAAATTGTAACTTCAATATATATATAATATATTTCACTGGTTAAAATCACGATTCAATTGAAACTAATCCACCATGGAAAACCTGGAAGCACTGGACGGCCGTTTCGTCCTAGTATGGGACTCCTCAGCAGTGCGCACTCAAGATCCCGCCCCCCGCGAAATCCGAACCCAGGACCTATCAGTCTCGTGCCAGGCGCTTAACCAACTAGACCACTGAGCCGGCATCCGACGGTGTTAATGTCTAACTTCAGTCAATCCACGAAGTTGCGCCACCGCATACCATTGTCTTCAGTGAGTTCCTATCTCACAACAGACCCGGTTGAACTCCACTGGTAACGGCTTCTCACTAGAACTCCAGGAGTATCTCCTGAAGTCAGTCACTAGTGAGCAGGTGATTATTATTATCAGAATGGGTTTTGTGGAGATTTTTAGAAATTTCACTGGTTGAAATCATGAGTCAACTGAACATAGACCACCATGAAAAACCTGGAAGCACTAGACGGCCGTTTCGTCCACAAAACCCATTCTGATATATATACATATATATATATATATATATATATATATATATATATATATATTCAGTGATTATGTTCAATATATTCAAAAGAAAATAGATTTTATAAAATCCAAATATTACCTGGGCTATTTGACTTAATGCATGATGCATAACATGGGTATGTTCAATTAAACGTTTAGTTGCTTTCAAATGATCATCTTCGTCTTCGAATTCTAATAAATCATCATTATGTTTATTAATATCAGCTGTTGTATTATCCAGCACATCATGCAAACGTTTGCCACGTTTATAGGATTTGGAATTTTTAATTAATGGTGAATCTATGTCAAAATTCGAATGTAATTGTTTCATTGTAGTGAGTATTCGATCTCTTTCAGCAAGCTTTTTAATATGAGTAAGTGTAGGAATATTCAAAACAAAAAGGCAAATAAAATGAGAGAAAATATAGATTAATTACAAGTTAATGTATCGAAGATTTCTGCTAACTTCGTAAAAGTGATTAATTATTAGTTTGAATATAATAAATTATTATTTTTATTTAGTTGCTAAGTGATTTATATAGATTGTAAAAAAGAATACTTCTGGTAAATCTTAAAATATAACAACTATTAATCATTACTTAGATTTAAAAACTTCAATCAACTCGATTTATATTATGATAAAATGGCTCACTAACATGTACTTTTCAACAAAAGTACCAATAAGTCAATATTTCAGGGATACATAATCTTAGATTGAAAATATAAGAATTAAGAGTTAGCAATGATGATATGTAGATTTCCAACTTTTTCTCCACTAAATAAAAAACAATCTTTTGCGAGCCGAAGTACAGTGTAGTATAGTGTAGTACAGTTACTTCACTTGTTGTTATTAATATTTAGAATAATTGGTACGTTTGAAGTTTAAAACGAGTCCTTAAAACGATATAGATAAACATTTTGTAACCGATTATCTGTTTATACATATAGTATGAGTCATAGACAATGAAAGATGATTAGATTTCACAGTTACCATAGAACGAATAGAGACTACTATGAATTTTGATATGTTTATCAATTACTGATAGAACGCACATTTTATCTTGATATTTATCATAGTTGAGTTATTTTAATATCCATCCGCTGGTGATTGTAGTCAAATTTCATTTGAACACCTACCAGACAAAATCACATATAAAATTTAGGCTTTAAAGTATAGTACATTAGTATTTTATACTTAAATAGAGCAAGAACAAAGATTGGTGCAGAATAATATGAATTCATTTTATTTCGTTAGGTTCTCATCAGCTGCTTACAACCTAAAATATTTGAAATTCAACGTTATTATAGATATTGACATACTTATACAACAGAGGGCGATGAAGGATGAATATATGTAACATAATCTTTACCACATTATGTTACATATATTCATCCTTCATCGCCCTCTGTTGTATAAGTATGTCAATATCTATAATAACGTTGAATTTCAAATATTTTAGGTTGTAAGCAGCTGATGAGAACCTAACGAAATAAAATGAATTCATATTATTCTGCACCAATCTTTGTTCTTGCTCTATTTAAGATAATAAAGGGAACTATGAGTATTTTATACGTTTAAAGCAAAAATAGTTGTGCACTATGCACACTAAATATAAGGCTTTGCACATAATATTTTTGCCGTCTTAACTTGAAAAATTAGTAATATTTCCAGGTATAAGCGTTTTCGTTTTAATTTTGAATGCTTTGTTTACATTTTGATTTATTTCATTATTCTTAAAACTTTGGATGCGTACCTGAGTGGCAAGCCGTTCTTTTGCAGTCATAACATCAGTAAGCTTCGTTTCTGTTTCAGCCAAACGTGCTTGACTACGTGCCAAAGATTCAGTCAAACCTTGTATACGATTTGCCATATCTGCTTCAATGAAGCTAGATGTTTTTACTTGACTAGCTTGATTCTGTGCTTCAGCTGTGCGTATATTTGCTTCCAAATTATTACATGCTGACTGAATGTTCCCTATGTATCGAGTAAATTCTGTACGGGTCTATATAATAATTATGAATAGAATTATAGAGAAAACGTGAATTAAACATATTATAGGATATAGTTCTGAGATAATCAAGTCCGTATATGAAGGATTATTTAATCATTCTTTTGTTACTGAACAGTTCTGATATCACAAATTAAAAGGTTCTGTAGTATGTTGCTATGTCCCAAAAATTTTGTCGTTTTAAGTCTATTAAAAGACAACAATACCCAGAGCTACATTGTAGACAACAATTATTTTGTAGAACAATTTTGTTAGTCGTCAAATGTCTCATGGAGGTGATGATTATTTTGGTGTTTGTATGATTTCAAATCTCACTTTACTATTTTAAGTCAGTAAGTAGATTGTTTAGTGATAAATAGGTAAAATTTTTAGTGTTTTAAAATTTTTGTTAGTTTCTAGAGAATTTAAAACGTACTTATTACTACGACATCTCTTGTAACATAGAAGTCTAATACTGTTAATGCTTTAATCGGAAAAAAATATTTAAAGTGATACTTAGAGTGCGGATTTACGTAAAACTCATATGAGTTTAAAAATGACCACGTTGTAAGTTGGTCTTCATGACTTTTTAGGTAAAGTTTGTGTTATGTTCGAGAGATTGAGATGTCATCTTGGACCGACGAGCGGAACGTAAACCAACAATGTGATAACAGGACAATGTTAGACTATTTCTCTGCGCCCCAACCCTGCTAATTAGATCAAGAAGACCAGATTCAGCCGATAAAACACATAATTTTACAAGAAACCCGGAAGAATGAACAAGCACTCAACTCACGAGTAATATATACAATAAAAAGACATCCTTGAAAAGTGTCACAAAATAGCTTACTAAAAGAGGAAACAAACCAATGGTGTTTAAAGTCCTTCCAAATGTAAAACATAGATTGAAGGTAATAATGAGTACTTTTGGCCTCAAAATGAGAAGTTTAAATTTCCATAATTAAATTGCAAAAATAAGAGGTTTATCAGGCGAATTCAAAGAATCTAGCATCCCCAAAAGCCTGACAAGCTATACATTACTTATTTTTATCTATCTGTGAACAATTAACCATATCAATCCCAGTTTAGTTTTTAAACTATAGTTGCTGTTAATAAAATACATAAATTTTAGAGCTTAAATCAATTAATTTGTATTGTCTAGTTTCAAAATAATGAATTGAATAATGTACAAGGTTCAAAGCATTGATTTATGTTTAAAAGTCGGAAAATTTCTTTCAGCCAACTGGTCAGAAGATCATCTCATCTATTAAGTTTCTGTACATATCGAATAATATCAGTCAATTTTTGGTTACATATTCATCTCCCTGTAAATCTTCATATATGACATCGTGTTATCTTAGTGAAATAATCGTTTATTTTATATATAACTTACATTTGTTAAATCTTTATCAGTTTGTTGTCTTAAATCAGCAAATTGACGTCGAAGGGCAACAACAGCTCTCCATAAAGATAATAAACGACTATGTTCAGCAGCAAAATAATCATTAAATGCGCTTTCTTCTTCACGCCATTCTGATTCACGTTTATCTAATTGTTGAGCTGCATGTCTCCAGGCTAATGTTAAACGTGCAACATCTTGACTTAAACCTTGATTAGCTTGTATTGCTTGTTCTAATTGATCACGTAATAATTCATTTTCTCTAGATAATTCGTTAGATCTTATAAAAAGGAAATTAGATTTAATTATAATAAAATTAGAATTTATTTATAATTTTTACAATCATTTATAATATGAAAAGTGTCAATTCAATATTATCATTTTCTCTATTATAACTGAGGTAATATTAAAATTAAAAACAGATGGAAATTTTGTTATGTTATTTAGTATGTTGATATATTCATCCATTATACAATAGCATATCCTTTACTTTCAACAAGACTAAAAATTCATATAACAGATTGTAATATGACAATATACTGTTGAATGAATTATAACAAAACTCTAGAGGTTGATTGTACTTAAATGACAAGGAAAATCTATTAAGTTATTAGTCAAGAATGAAAAACAAACGAATCTTTTTGTAGTGTTTTTTTAACAGTTGAATTCACGAGTCGATCTAAGTTAGACCACCATTGACAGCTTTGAAACACTGGGCGGCAGTTTCGTCTTAGTACGAGACTACTCAGCAAAGCGTATCCACGATCCCGCACGCGGGACTCGAGCCCAGGATCTGCGGTCTTGCGATCGAACGGTTAACCTCTATTTGCCTCAGTCAATGGATGAAGGGTTGCGGAAGATCATTGATCGATTGAAGTTAGACATTAAACCGTCAGATACCGGCTCAGTAATCTAGAGGTGAGGCGTTCACGCACAAGATCGAAAGTCTTGGGTCTAAGCCCCACGTGCGGGGTCATGGATATGTACTGCCGAGGAGTTCCATACTAGGACGAAACCGCCGTCCAATGCTTCCAGGTCTTCAACGGTGATCCAGGTTATATTCAAATGTTAAAACACTACTATCTCCACAAATCCCCGTACTGATATTATTGTAATGTAACAATAAAATTTATCAGTTAGTCTGCTTCTCTAACGAAGATAAAACGTCGTAAAGAAATTTCATTATTGATACTATTGACTACTTGAATACCAGTGTTTAAATGTAGCCCAACGGTACTTTTTATCTGTTATAACTTTTTGAATTACTTATAACAATTTAGGAACAAATTTGAAAATTTCAAACAATCAGATCTTACTTGGTGATTTTATTTATCTTGAATTGATTCTTTTGAAATCTTTAACTGATATTTTTCATTATTGTTTTGTTTCAAGATTATTCCATATATTTGTAAAGTTCAATTTTTACTATTTCCTCATTTTAAACCAATGAACTATACTATTAACAAGTGGCATAATTCAGTTTGTCGAAAACAACTTGTTTTAAATAAGTAATTGATTGAATAATAACGTCGTTTAAATTGTAATTTAATAGAATGAAAGTATTTTCTTTCACTTACCTTTGTTGTTCTTCATGTAATTTATTTACAGTATTTTCCATATCATAAGAACGTTCTTGTTCAAGAGCTCTTGCTCTTGTCTCAGCTACATCAATACGAGAATTTAAAGTTTCTGTAGTGGTTGAAGCTGTTAGCCAAAATGAAAAAGAGTGCACAGTTTTATTGTGATAAAAAAGAGTCAAATAGTAGATGTATGAAATTATCTGAGTGTTGTTGCCATGTAAAAAGATCTTTTGAAAATTATTGATATGAACACATACACTAAACATTTTCAAATAGATATTCTAAATTCTCATCAATAAATAGTTAATTAAAACGTTTACATAACTTATGATAAAATTTTCAAAAATTGGAAGCAGTACAGAAGGAAACTATTGACGTTAGTATATGAAAACTATTCAAACTGATCGTAAATTAGGCTTTCTGAAGTAAAACAGTACGAGTCTATCATTTTCTAGGTGATTTTTATAAAAACTATAATGTAATAACATCAAACATATGACTATACTTTACATAATTTAATTCATGTGAGCGGCCCGGTAACATCTTAGACTGTGAAGTTGAGTAATACAGGTTCCAAACAAAGATCAATTGGGTGCAGCCGAGTATCAAGTAGTACGGAATTTACATGCAGACATTTCTGAAAATTACCTCTAACCATTTAGTATAATAATTTAAGAGAAAGTCATATGTAGCAAATGGATAGAAATTTTTAAAAGTCAGTATACACGTATGAAGATTGCATTTTTTTTGTATTCTGTTTAATCAGTTTCATCTAAATCCGATGACAATCCTTTATTCTGTTGGTGAAAAATAAATAAATTTTAAAAATACCACCAAGACTAAATTTTTAAACTTTAATATCGGAAAGACTGAGAAACCAGATTTTTTCTCTGAGTAATATTTTTAGCTATAGGTTTGGATTGATTATGATGTGTAATTATCACGACGAAATATAAGCCGAATTGATTAACCTACTGATTTCGAATTAAGATTACTTTATTTGGTAGTTTAAACAGATTTATTCAAATGTATTCAAGAGGAATGAAAGTTGAAAAAAAAAATGATGAAAAGACAAATATTTCAAACTAGTTTATACTCATGCGATATTGAAAAAAAGAAACAACAACAACAACGCAACCATTGTTAATAAGTATAGTTTTACAACATTGAACAACATCTATCTTGAAGATGCAACAACCTTGAGGAATGAGTAAGCAAGCTCACCACTTTATTTGATGTTTCAAGTTCAGCTTTTAGTTGTTCAACCTCAAGTTCCAAATCTGAGCTGCTTTTTTTATACTGCATTACCTATTATATACAGATATAAGGAGAGTGGTAATAGAGATTTAAGTTTATTTGAAAATATTTTTGACTACACATAATGGACTAATTTTGATTACAAAGCTAATTGAAACCAGGGAAAACTGGGCAATTGTTTGGTCCCACTGTGGAACTCACCAGCATTGTATATCCTCGACTCCACAGCGGATCGGACCTAAGACTTTCGATTACATAATTTACATAGTTTAATTAATTTGCTATAAATCTTGAGCAGTTTTTTTAATGTTAATTGTTTCAAAAACTAAGTACCAGTTCTATTTTTTGTCACTTTTAAATAACAATTGAAATTCAGAAATGATGTAGTGAACTAGGATACAAGTGGGGAAAAGCAGATCCATTTTAATACAATACTACGGAATATCTTGGTAAAATCTGAGAACTATACAGTAATACTTCATTTGCAAAATATTCATCAATTGTCTCGGATTTTGTTGTTCCTTCGTTTCTATACCGATCACGCTCTGTTCTCGTTCTCTTCTCTTTGATTTTCCCAACATTCTGACTCTAGGTATTCAACTTTTGATTGATGATACATACTACTTATATCTGTCGATATCAGTAACACATACCATACTAAAGGTATTTAGAAGCTTTTAAGAAAATTTCGAATAAAAAACTTTAAATATGTTTGGTTATTCTGGTAATACCGGGATTCCCCATATAAAAAACTTACTTTACTTGTTATTAGGGTTCTAAGGATTTAGAAATATGATCAGAATTATTATGTAGATCGTAATATACTGGACTGTCGGTTTTATACTTAAGGTGACAAAGTAAATATAGGGCCCCATATCACTGACTAAATATTATCTCAAGTTTAATGAAAAACCTATAACCAAATAATTGAGAACTCTACGCCAGAATATAATATTTATATTGTGTAAACATGTCAAATTAAGATTTTTTCACGAGTGATATTGTAAGAACTATGGTTAGACAATTTATCAGTAATGATAGTATGAATTTTGAGATGGTGGAGAAGATTTGTAGCTCACGTAGATGATTTTGATGGAGTTTTGTTCTCTGAGCTGGATGGTTTGATCGTGGAGCTTTCATCGTTCTTCTGAACGACATCATCAGCACAAACTTCAGATAGAAGTGAAGTGTTCGAATTTCTCCATATGTGTTTCACAGCTTGTTCTGTGCACCTCGATGTTGATTGGTTCTTGTTGACCATAAATTTATCATTGTTTACTTCTTTGTTTTGGTTGTGTCTCCCATTGGTTTGATTTTTGTTCCTATATTTATGCATGATTTTCTTGATTGGTTGATAAATTGGATTGATTTCAATATGTTTGTTGATTGCTGATTGATCTGAGTGCCAAGCTTCTAAAAATTCTCTGGTGTTTTTGGAGTTTCCTCTGTCTAAGATTTCTACATTTTTCCAATCGAATGAGTGTCCGTAGTTATCCACGTGTATTGATATAAGTGAAGAGATATCATGGCGTTTGACTGCTAATTGATGTTCATGTAAGCGTAGGTGGAGGGGGCGTCCGCTTTGTCCGATGTAGTGTTTGTCGCAGTTGGTACAATTTATTTTGTAGATGATGTTTGACTTGTTTTCCTTTGTTATTTCATCCTTTGGTTTGCATAGGATTGATTGTAGTGATTTTGTTGGTTTATGTGCCTCGTTGCAACGAGACTGCTGAAAACCTTCGGGATAGGTGTGGCACTTTTGACTAGTTAATTCTATATTGTGACTAAGATCTAGACAATTGGCTATCTGAAATGAGTAGCCAAGAGGATAGCGTGATGACCTTCGAAGCAAAGAGTACTGGGTTCGAGTCCTGGTGTGAATATCAATCATGGGATGTAGGTACATCCTACTGACTAGTCAAAAATAGGACGAAACGTAAGTCCTGGATTCCACTGCTAGCCACCATCCATTTAGACCATCTTAGTCTCACAAATACCTTCAGTTAAACGTTTTTGAGTTATTTACATTTTTAGTTACGTAGAAATTAATATTTTTGCCTTTTCTATTATTTAGTATCAATAAAAATAAAAACTTACTTTTGCTTGTAATTTTTGTATAAGCTGAGCTTGTTTTTGTTGACCATCTTGATAACTGGATAATTTTTTTTTATAATTTGCTATTTCTGCTTCATAACGTGCTTTTATATGATTAATTGTTTCTTCTGTATCAGTTAATTGAATTTGATGCGTAAATGGAGAATTTTTCTCAGCCAAAGAAATATGTACATCATCTGGTGTACATGCTGGTGTTGATGATATTGGGCAACATAATGCTTCTAATTGAGATGAATCCATTCCAGCCATTTGAAAAAAACTATCAAGACTTATTTCTTCATCTGGATTCATTGCAGATAAGAGTTTTTTTTAGTGTTCTGAAATTTATTATTGAAACAGTCAGTAGATTATTCGTATTTAAAATGATCATTTTAGGTTACGGGGTATTAAGTATTAACATGTTATAAATTTCATCTGTTTACAAGTCATGTTGTACTTGATATTTATTGTTTTTCTTATAAAAAAAGTTATTACCGTTAGTGGTTTTCTTCAAGTGATTCATAGGTTATTAATTAGTTTATAAAACTCAAGACCTTCACGGTTATATTGTTCTCAATTCATATTGTATTATACTTTTGGGTTATATATGTATCATACTATCCAGTTAAACAGTAAATACTTCATAGGAATATTTATTCCGAATATGTGGATGATTAAAAAAATCTCTCATTAAGCTGATAAAAAGAAAATCGATTTACGAGTTAAGGTAGCTATTTCTATAGTACCGTTGGAAACAAAATTTAGATTGAAAGTCAGTGATATTTAAATGTTGATTGGTAGCTATTTCGCTTAATTATAGATGAATTTTTAACAATCCATGACTATACATTTCTATATTATTTAGTGATGTTAAAAAAGATGATTAAAGCTCAGGATTGAAGGGTCTGGAATTGGAAAAATAGACCATTTAGCTATTCATGATGTTTATCCAAATATCAAACAGTATCTTTCAATACATCAACTTAGAGAAAATTGATGAGGTCATAGATGGCCACTGTTTAGTAGTTTCAATCTAAAGGTATTTCATATATTTTAAATTGTACTAACAAGCTGTCCAATCGTATTAAACACAAAACACAACAAACTTATTATCAGTAAATATAAAGATAATAATGTATCACAGTACGTGTCGCGGTTGTTGAAATATTCATGTCACAATGAAGGTTATCATTAAAACTTATTGATCTACCGTTTGATAAATATTTTATTATGCACTTGTCAAATAACTTTGTTTTAAAAAATATTGTTAAAAATTAAACAGATAAATGTAAATAAATTATACATTAAAAGTAGCTTTGTTAGTTGATTTTTTAAAATTGCATTTTATTTATCTATCCTACCAATAATTCTAAAATCTGATATACAAGTACCAATGTTACCATAGTAACAAGAAGTGTAATTGATGGATTCTGTGAAGTATAAATTATAATTCTATCGGGTTCTACAAATCATATATATATCACAACTTTTGTATAAATATTTGCTTACCATAATTACCAGTTGTTTTTTATTTAGGGAACAGCAGAGCTGATATTTCCGATGTCATTATTAGACTATAGAAGTAATTTATTAGATAAAACTTTATGAATAATATCCGACAATACAAAAAAATAGTAAATGATTTGAAATATAGTAAAATGTGATAGGGTTTCTAGTGTGACATTTTTTAAAAGTAGTTGAACAGTACCTTAGTCTATCCAACTACTTATTCATTTAATTCTCAAGAGAAAATGATAGTATATTTTAAAACTAATTGATAGAACTGAAATATTATTGCATATTATAACTGGATAATCAGTTAAAATACAAAGATCATAAATGTACTAACCCAATATTTGATAACATTATGATAATCAATGAACATAGTTTGTATATACAACTAATACTTTCAAAGTTGAAAGCTGTTCTGTTGAAAGACATCTCTTGAGAGTTTGAAACGTGTAAACAATAGTGTTATTTATGACAGATTTTTTTAAGTCATAAGAGAGATAAAAAATATCTTGTTTAGGAGAGATAATATGCATTATTTGCAGGGGAACAATTAACAGACAGTTAATATACTACGTAGTAGATGATATCACGTTTGTAGCCAACAAACAACTAAATAATTCAGGAGGAAACAATCAATATTCTTTTCATTTATTTGATATTATCTAAGAAATTAGATTAAGTAATGCTTACTGATTCAGAAATTTGGTGAAAAACGTTTTTCTTGCCACCCTACTTTAGATAATATAAAACATTATGTATCATAATTTTGCAGTCATTCAACTTACGTGTATGGGAGGTAACTTTGAAAGACACCTTGTCAATTTAGAAAAGAGATGAATGTTAGAGATTTTAGGCATTTATGCAACTAGTAAGCTGTTTGTATTCAATTAATAATATCGATGTTCATGCACTAGTTTTCAGACGTTTTCTTAATATGGGACACCTGTCGATCAGCATCCGTATATATATATACGGATGTTGATCGACAGGTATTCCATAGTCTAGTAGTTTACAACCTAACTCAGTCTGGTGGTGCAAACTAATATTAATTATTGAAAAGTTTTCAGTCTTTGTATCACTATTCTATTGAAAGCATTAAGTTTCATTAGTTTAAAATTAAAAAAGCACAAAATAAATAACTTTCAGTAAAATGAAGATAGAGTGTATTAGTTCACTATGAATAACAATGTTTTGTTGGTCAGGAAGTATTTTAATGTACATTATGATAAGGAAAGCTTTTGGCATTAGATGGAAAAGTATATTTATCTACAAAATAAGATTTAATTGATTCTCGGAATTAGTTAAATGTTTTCATAATCTTAGCAAAGAATATTGATATTAAATATTTAAAGTGACTGGGTGGGATTTAAAATGAAGTGCTTTTATGGAGATTACTTAAATAGAGTGATGTAATACAATAGAAACTATTGAAATCTCAATTTTGAGCATATGCAGAAGCTAAAGACGTTTATAAGTTTGAAATGTATTTATTTACTTATAAGAAAAGCTTTACAAACTTGAGTACATTTTAAACATTGAGTTATATAGATTGTCTGATAGTCTTTAATATGATAAAATCTATGATAAAACAACAGTGCATACAGAGATCTTTGTTGTTGTAAGAAGTCAGTATGATATGTTTACTATTGTCTACTGATTAAAACGAACAATAAAATGAATTAATAAATTATTTACAAAGTGTATATCTAAAACTTATCCGTATATTTTAATTCAGTTATATGAAATTTACTTTGCGTAACAGATTTCATTAATATGGGGTTAGTTAATTGATTGCACTACTAAGTTCAAGGTCATTCTAACGGTTTAGTGATAAACATAATCTTGAGTAATTTCTACCAATACTGCTATATAAGGTAATAGTTACACAACTGAGAAAAAGACTGAAACGATTTGTTTGAATAATAATGATAATAATAATAAAAACAGAATGGGTTTTGTGGAGATTTTTAGAAATTTCATTGGTTGAAATCATGAGTCAATTGAAGTTAGACCACGATGGAAAACCTGGGAGCACTGGACGGCCGTTTCGTCCTAGTATGGCGCGAGACTGATAGGTCCTGGGTTCGAGTCTCGTGGGGGGCGGGATCATAGATGCGCACTGCTGAGGAGTCCCATACTAGGACGAAACGGCCGTACAGTGCTTCCAGGTTTTCCATGGTGGTCTAGCTTCAATTGACTCGTGATTTCAACCAGTGAAATAATAATAACACTTGTATTCCCCATTCTTTGTAGTTATCACCAGTTTAATTACATAACTATCAATTTTCATCTTGAATTCATTTCTTCTAAATAAAATAGTTGAGGAAAAGTTTTATCGTCGGATTTGTTAAACAGAATTTAGGGTTTCATTTGCGACGATTATGACCTATTCATCAATGCACGAAAATTGGAACTATTCGCATTTTCTCGAATTCACTTATTTCACTAAAATAAGCTAGTTTTCGTTATAAATTCATATCAACTGAATTACCACAAAAGATCAGGTAGAAATGTACAGGTGTTTTCTCTTAATTTTAATGATTTTTGTATGCTCTCCATTTTTAACCTAACAAAAAACACAATTCGAATTGTTCTATTTGATGTGGTATGACGGAAGGGATATTTGATTGAGGGGATTAATTTAATTAATAGGTTATATTTGTCACAAATTGATCTTGTTTGGGTCACTATTAATGGCAAGAGATTACTGGAATGTTGTTTAATTTTCACATGAGACTCCTCAGCATTTTGTACCCATGACTCCGCGAGGGACGGAACCCCAAACCTCTAGGTCTAGCAGCGAACGCTAGACCTTCGGAACTAATGAGACTTAATGATCATGTTATGTCACGAATTGACTGAAGTTACAACTTTTTTACCGGACGCTGGCCCAGTCGTTCTAGTAGTCAAGCATTAGTCGGGAGACCTGAAGGTCCTAGGTTCAATCTCTCGTATGTCTATGAACACTCCATACTAGGACGCAACAGTTATCCGATGCTTCCTGGTTTTTAATGGTACCTTTAATGAGACCAATATATTAAATAGAAACCCTTTGTTTTTTAAAAACAGAAGCATTTTGCATCTACTTATATGATTCATAAATTACCATCGTGAAAATAGATCAAGCATATAAGTTGAAAATCCACGATAAACCAGGTTATTTCGATAAGTGCGAGCGACTCATAATAGAATATTTACATATAAGTTCGCATTGTGTACATACCTATACAACTAATTTGTATTAGTGATAACAATTTCAATGGGTAATCGAATTAAAAGCATAAAAAAAACTGATCGGATTGGAGAACAGTAGGATTATGTCAACAGATAGATTAAACTTAGGTATTAACCAAATGATTTAAAGTCACTGGATCAGCAATTACATAAGATCTAGGAATAATGAATTCAATTGTTTCCATGATCACTTACACAAAATATTGATTAGATAAGATCAAATAAGGCGTTTGTTCAATGACACCTTTATCGTACGAAGTTTGTTCATTAAAGTTATTTTAAAATATGATCTAAACATTAACTTTAATAATTTTCTAGGAAGAATAAATCGTAGCTTTCAGTGGAATCTAGGACGTGCATTTTTTCCTATTTGGGACTCATCAACCGGATACTCCTGGATCCATTTGTTGATGTTCACATTCGAACTAGTTTTGTTTTGTGTTTTTTTCATTTAACTTATAAGGGGTATGAAAATATTGGTCATCTATATAGACTGCTCAATAACACAGTGACATTGTAATGTATAATAAATAACTGCTTACTTTAATTACATTCGCGTAACTTTA